CTTAACTAACAAAAAACCCCTATAAATCCCATTTCAAATCCATTTTTGGGCTCATCTGGTTATCGCTACACTTTTTTTTTTTTTTTTTTGGTGTTTACATTTAAAAAAAAATTGTCACTTTTGTCACTTTTCAATGATTTTGTTTTTAGGCTTCGAAGATTGTGAGCAAGATAGAATAGAAATGGATTATACAGCTGTGACTCACGATTTCGAGCACTGGCTGCTGAACTCAGGGGTCCAGGTTTCCCCAAAGATCAAGATCGAAGACCTAAGGCACCTATCTCAAGGTCGAGGTTTAATAGCGACTCAAGATATAGAGGAAGATGAAGTATTGTTTTCTATCCCAAGAAATGTGTTGCTTAACATAGAGACTGGTACTTTGAGTGGGATAAACAACAATAGAGAGAAACTTTTAACTAAATATGATCATTGGGAAGGTCTCATATTAACAATCTTGTACGAATTATCATTAGGTGAACAAAGTAAATGGACTCCATATTTCAAAATATTACCTGAAGAGTTCCATAGTTTGATGTTTTGGAATGAAGAAGAACTAAACATGCTAAATCCTTCACTTGTATTGAAAAGAGTTGGTAAGGATAAAGCTGAAGAAACTTTTAATAAATTAATACCTAATGCTCTAATAGATCTTGATATTGGTCATTTAAACATTTCGTTAGATTTATTTCATAGAGTTGCTAGTACTATCTTATCATATTCATTTGATGTTGAAAGACCGGATTTCAATGAAGATTTAGAAGATGATGAACAGGTTCAATATGATGGTTATTACAAATCAATGGTTGCATTAGCTGATTTATTAAACGCTGATACAAACTTGGCAAATGCTAATCTTTTTTATGAAACTGATGTGCTTGTTATGAAATCGGTCAAGAAAATCTTGACAAATGACCAAATATACAATACTTATGGGGATCATCCAAATAGTGAGTTATTAAGGAGATATGGTTATGTTGAATGGAATGGTTCAAAATTCGATTTTGGTGAATTACCATTATCTACCATAAAGCAAACTTTAAATGTCCATTCAGATTTACCAATGGAATTTATTGAAAGAGTATTAGATTTAATTTCTCAAGCTGATGTTGATGAAATTGAAGAAGATATTGTCTTGGACTCTTATGATGCTTATAATGATGGTGAAGTTTTACCAGAATCTCAAATTTTAATTCAAGTGTTGACCACTATTGTACAAATTAACCAATCAGAAAATTTACAAAAATTATCGAATGAATTACTGCTCAAGAATATCAATAGAATTTTGAAAAAATGTTATCAATTGATTGAAACAGGCTCAATGACTAAAAATGCAGTTTTAACATGGGAACAATGTATAATAACCAGACTAGAAGATTATCCAAGCCATGCATTCCGTGATTTCTTAATCCCTCCACCAGCTGAAAGATTACATAAATTGAAAATGAGTGAATGTATTTTAAAATCTGAAGTTTCCTCTTTACAAACTTGTTTGAAATCATTTTCATCAAATTTTAAACTCATAGATGATGATAAGTTGGTTAGAAATATATTGAAAAGAAAATCTAATGACCAGGCAAATCAAAAAAATACAAAAAGACAAAAAATATAATGTCATGCATATCCTAATCATTAATAAAATTATTCATCATCATTTGTAGCAACATTTTCCTGAAAAACTATAGGTTTCCTTCCCAGAATCACGAATTCATTCTTTGGTTTCTTATTTTTGGATTTTGAAGGTATTTGTAGTAAAGATTCCTTTTCTTGAACTCTATCTTGATTTGCCCCAATATCTTTTCTCCCAACAACTTCAAACCCTTGATTTACAGGTTTCTTCATGAAGGGATTAAATTTGAAATCAATACTTGAAACATTTGAAACTCTTCTAATATTCGTTTTCCCCCTCTTTCTTCTTCTTGCCCATAATTTTCTAACTTCTGAATCGTTTTGATCCATTTTAGCTAAATATCCATCATTTATAGGACTAACAGCTGGTGGTTTGATCAACTTTTCATGGACTGAACTTGTACTTGTATCTGAAGCTTGTCTTGTATGATGACTTGTTGAAGGTTTATTCAATAACTCTGCATCGAATGAAAATGAATTATCAGTTGATACTGGGAAATAATCATATGGAATTTCAAAATCAAATAATTCAACATCTGGTGAACTCTCTGATATTGTATCTTCTTCAATAATGGGTTTTGTGAAATCATGTTTCATCCTTAATCTTGCAACATAAACCACTTTATAAACAAAGGATAAAAAGAAAGCCACTGAAAATGTACAGGTCAAAAGAAGTTGAGTGTATCCAATAAATGACCTTTTAACCATACTTACATCTAAATTTGTAATATATGAAACTGAGAGGGAAACAATTAACAATGAAAATAATGAAGAAAAACAACACCAAATATTTCTTGCCCTATTAAAGCAAGGTTGAACAATCAATAAAGCCATGAAATAAACTAGTTCAATGAAAATCAGTAATGCAACTTGAATTGTCCCATTTGATTGTCCAAAACCTATGATAAAACCTTCACTAATTGTCTTGATCATCTCAATAACAACAAAATATGAAGATTTTGGTTTATAATAATAGTAGAGAGAACTCCAACATGAAATGATCTTGAATGATGAATACAATTTATTCTTGTTTCTAACAATAACATAAAACATGAACCAACTTATGAAAATCAACCAAATAATCAAGAATAATATTGATAGTGTAACTGATGAAGTTTGAACATTGGAATCTTTAGATAATCCGTAAAATAAGAAAGAGCTAAATGAAATGAATGGTAAAGGGAAATATGAGTAAAAAAATTGTATAATTATACCAATTGTGAAAAAAAATCTTGATTTATATGAAGAAATTTGACAATCTCTCAAAATTGATTGCTTGAAACTTAGATATAATTGACTCATGATAATTAGAAACCCAATTGCACACCAGATCCATATGATAAAAGTATTCCAAAGATGTGAAGCCGTTTCACCATCTGGAAGTTTATCACCTTCAGGAAACAATCCAAATAATCCCCTTATTCCAAATGATTGATAAACTCCATCTTTAGATAATCCATTGATACTTTTATTAGAGAAAAAATCAATAGTTATTAGCACAACCCAATTTGAATAAGTTATTAAAGGTTGTAAAAACCCAGGATAGTTCAAATTCAACCCCATTGATAATACAACAAATTGTAAAAATTTCAAAAACATCACAATATCAGGCGTCAATTCATTTAATAAAGGTTCATTACATATTGAAGATGCAATGATTAACAATATGTTTGTAGTTTCTTGATGTGGACTGAAATTGAATATGTAGAAGCTAGCAATGAACCCAAATATAAATATAATTAAAACACCAAAAGTCATTGAATATGTGATTTTTTTAGGATGTGTTAAAGTTGGGAATAATAAGATACATCCTGATTGATCATCTTCATCTCTTAAATTTTGGAAATTTGAAGTTTGAATAGTGAATTTGGTTTCATAAGATCCAAAATATCTTGGGGATGAAATATCTGTAATGGAAAAAATGTTGTAACGTTGATTAGGATCCAAGGGACATTGAGTTCTATTCCTGTTGGGAACAGCTCCGGTTTCATTAGTCAAAACGATTAAATCTAAAGATTGATTTTGCAAAGGGTGAATATAATCACACAGTCTAACTGATTGATTGATTGGATCATCACCCATGAAATTCCAGCGAACATTCAATGTTGAATACAATCCGTTTGTATAATTTGCATCATTGATCTGTGTCAATGGAGAGAATTCCACTCTGTAATAGAGCAAATGGTGATCCACTAGAACAACTTCAGCAATTGGATCATGGAGCTGATTAGACCAATCTTGATCTCTAGTAATAGGCCTTGCCACTTGGGAACCGTACCCACACGTGAATGGTTGGACATTGGCTGAGAGCACCATTGGCAGCAGCAGCAGCAGCACTATCATCATCTTGACCAGCAACAAACAAACAACAACATCACCATCACCAACAAAATTAAACCATTTTTCAATTTCAGGTACACTTTTCAAAATTGTGTCTAATTTTCCATCAAACGTAAACAAGTTAAAAATAGCATAGAAATTCGCGAATTATTACATTATGATAATAACCAAATCCCATTAAAATGCAAATTAACGCCTAAAACCTTCTAAAAAGTATATAAAAAACACTCCCAAACCAAAATAAAACTTTTATCTATTCATCCTCGGATGATCTCTTTCTAGCATTATGATTAACCACTATTGGTTTCCTACCAACAACTTGAAATCCCTTCTTTTTGTCCTCTTGTGGTTTCAACAGAGTAGATGATGCAGATGCCTCATTATTAACCACTATAGGCTTTCTTCCAACTACTTGGAACCCTTTATTATTGCCCCTTGTCATCTCATCTATTGATGCCTTACTTCTTCTCTTCATTTCAATCCCACTTTCAAAACTAGATTCAGTCTCAAATCTTGATAATCTTTTAAAATTATTTCTCTTTGCCCATAGATTCCGAAGTTCAGAATCATTTTTACTAACATTTGCCAAGAATTCATCATCAATAGGACTAACTGGTGCAGGTAAATATTCTTTTGAATGTAAATAACTTAATGAAAGACCAGGTAAAACTCTTTGGTCTGTTAATTCCACAATTGAACTATCTTTTGATCTAATTGATTCTTGACGGGAATGATGATGTTCTAATCTTGGTCTTGGGAAACTCGTGGCACAATGATAATCTGATGGTGCTTCAAATTCAAATTCTGGTGAGTCTTCCTCTTCATAACCATCATCTAAAGTTGTATCATTTCCAGTTGAATCATTCATTTTATCATCAACTTTATTTAGCAATTTATTATCAATATTCTTCTTTTTAATTGTCGATCTAAAGACTTGAACTGTTCTAATAATGAAAAACGTGAAAAAGATCAAAATAATCAATGCACAGATAAATAATTGAACATCACCAATAACACTGCGGATTCTTGTTGGAACATATAATTCTCTAATATAAGCAATGTTTAAACCCAAAATAACTAATGATGAAAAAGATACTGAAATTCCCCAAACATTTCTAATTTTGTTGAAATATGGTTGAAAATAAAATAATAATAATAATTGAACAATTTCAATGAAAATTAATAATGACAGTTGCACTATACCATTATCTTGACCAAATCCAATAACAATACCTTGAAATAAAACAATGATTCTTTTAATTATGAGGAAGAATGAACATTCAGGTTTATACCAATGGTATAAAGAACTCCAACATGCAATTGTCTTGAAAGATGAATATAATTTGTTTCTTTGTAAAATAACTGTTTTAACACTGAAAATTGTAAAACCTAATAACCAAATAAATAAAAAAATAATACAAAAAACACATGAAGTCAAACCCAAATATCTATAAGTTTTGGATAATCCCAATATCAAAAAGCAGGACAAACTTATGAATGGTAATGGGAAAATAACATAAAAAAATTGAGTTATTGAACCAAATGCAAAATAGAATCTTGATTTTAAACCTGAAATCTTCCTATTTTTAGTGATGTATTGTTTGAAGAAAATGAACAGTTGGGTAATTATTATGAAGAATGTTATAATACACCAAATCCAAACCATAAAATTTTTCCAAAGTTTTGATATTGTATCACCTCTTGGAACTTGACCATCTTCAGGAAAAATTCCAAATAAACCTCTTCTTCCCAAGGATTTATAAACCCCATTTTCCGATAATGCATTTATAAATTGACTTGAAAAAATATCAATTCTAATTAATGCAACCCAATTCAAATAAGAAATAATTGGTTGTAAAAAACCAGGATAATTCAAATCCAGAGCACATGCAAACAAAACAAATTGTAAAAAATTGAACAACATTGTAACATCTGGTGTCAATTCATTCAATAAAGGTTCATTACATATTGAAGAAGCAATGATCAAAAAGACATTATCAGATTCTTGATGTGAACTGAAATGGAAAATATAAAAATTAGTTATAGCACCAATTATGAAAATAGCCATAACACCAAAAGAGATTGGATATGTGATTGAAGTTGGATGATATGGTGTTGCGTATACTTGGAAACAACCAATTTCATTATTTTCAGTTTCATTAGCACTTAGGAACGTGAATTTTGTTTGATAAGAACCAAAATATCTATCTGATGAAATGTCTGCAGCATAATTGATTTGATAACTCCCATGAGGTGATAAAGGGCATATGTTTTCCGCTTCTCCTTGTCCCCTTTTACTTATCAATGGAGGTATATTTGAAGCAGTTGGCCATGGAACAATTGAAGTGTTTGAATGTGATGAATCTTGATTTGTAGTATTTACAGCAGGGAACCCAAAAGGGTCAAGCGTATCTGAATCATTAGTGGAACGAACATATTCACATAGCCTAACTGATTTTTCAAAAACGGCACCATTAATGAATTTGGATTGAATATTCAAAGTTGTATATAGATTTGTTGTATAGTTGACATCATTAATCTCCACTGAAGTTAAAAAATCTAGCCTGTAATAGATGAAATTATCTTTAATCATGACAGCGACAATTGGATTGGATATAATATTTGAATGTATGAGGTCCAATGGTTTCAAATCAGCTTCACACGAGTAAGGTTGAACATAAGCTGAATTAATCAATGTTGGAAAGAACAAAGACACGGTTAGGATTAGTTCCAAAAAGAACCCAGTCAAGTTCCGTGTCCTGAGCAGCATAATCTTTTGTTTCTTTATGAAATTCTCTCAGCAGAGCAGCATAGAATTACGACAAGCCTTTGAAAAGCCTTCTTTTCTTTATTTTCTCTGTTTTTTTGGTTCAATTGTTCAATTGTCGTTTGGATGTTTTTTTTTCTACGTCACTTTTCTTTTTTGTTTTTTTCTCGAGGGTGAAAATTTGAAGTAGAAAACAGTTGAAAAAAGAACATTAAAATGGATTAAAACTACAGGAAATTGATGGACTTGTTAATTGAATGGGTTCATAATCATAAGAATTTTCATTATTTTGTTGTTGCTCTCTTTTTTCTCTCTTTTTTCTCAGGTTTCAACTCCTAGTTTTAGGCATTCCTTCATTTTCTCCCAAATATTTCAAATATATCGAACTCTTTGAGGGTAATGGAGCTCCACCGTCCAATGTGGCCACTGTCTTGAAAGAATCATCACTTGTAGCTATGGCCAGTATGGAATTCCCATCTTTGTAATCAGTATCTAGACACACAACTGATTGATCAAATTTAGAATATTGTCTTAATCTTTTCTTTGATGATTGATCCCATAAACAAACATGACAATCAGAACCTGCAGTGAATAAAGTTCCATATTTCTTATGGAAACTTAGCGCATTAACTGGTGATACTAAATCCACATCTGAACATGGAAGTCTATGACATTTGAATGCATATTTTTGAGCTTGTACTTTAGAAGATGGATCAAAATATTCTATTGCAACACGACCTTCTATTGAGCTTTGTGCATATCCTGACCCATTGGGCATACATTTTAATGATCTTGTTTGATATTTTAATCCACTTTCTCTAATCTGAAGTGGAGAAGTTGGATTCCTTATATCATAAATATGAACTAATCTATTAGACATGGCAACAACAACGTTATTCTCAGTAGCATCCATGGCAAATACCTTTTCAGGTAATTTTGTATGATAAGCTGTTGAACCAAGTTTACCACTATTTTGTAAACGACAATCCAAATATTGTATAGATTTATCCCAAGAGCCACTAACCAATATACCTCTTGAGTTGGGGATATAAGTTAACGCCTGTATCCCAGAATCATGTTTAGTTCCTATCACGTTTGTAGCTCTAGCATTTTCTAAATCTATTTCTTTAACTTCCCCATCAACATTACTCAGAAATGCCTTTTTCCACGTGAAACCATCCCAAGTTATATCAGTCACTGGGGTATGAGTATCTATTTTCAAGAGAGAGTCATTCTGGGTACTCTGTGGATCTGTGCTATAAAGATGTACTATACCATCCCAAGAACTAGCCAATAAATGGTTATAAACAGGTGAGAATTTGATTGAAGACACGATATCTTTTGGAGAGTCTGGCAACTCCACTGCCCATACACTGTTAGTACTAATAACTACTCATCCACAACCACCCAAACATACCTATTCCAGTTCCACTCATTTCACTTTTAATGCCCTTTTCAAATTCTGAACAAAATCAAAAACAAAATTCAAAATTTCGAAAAGTAAACAAAGAAAAATCGAATTACGAGGGCATCAAATTTAGTCACGTGAATTCAATCACCGGATCTCGTTTTTAGGCTAAATCCAATTTCGCATATGAATTTGATTTAGATCCAAACCAAAGAACAACAAAAAACAGCATTTTCCAACAATTCAACAGATTGAATCTTTGACAATTGGATTGGTTTTTGCTGGTAGTGGACGGTGATAACAATTAGAAATCGACTAGAAAGGCTTTAGCACCAGAATTGAAACAACAACATTCAAAATACATCTCATAAAAGTGACAGGTATTAATTAACATCTCAACGGGGTTTCTTCTTGCAAAATGGATTCAGTGTCAAGCTTCTTCCAATGGGAAAATGACGAGGGTAGTAACACCCAAAAGAACTCATCTAAAAATCAAGCACGTAATTCAAATTCATCATTATCTTTTGATTTCAACAATTTCTTTAATAGTTCGGGTGCTGAGGGAAAGCAATCATCAACTATAGATCCATCTAATTTACAACTAAAAGACTCAACACCTTCTAAAAATCAAATATCATCTTCAAATACAGCTTCTTCTTCACATTACAACAAATCACCTTCCAACTCTTCCTCTGCAAGTGCTAAACAAAACTACATGTCTCAACAATTGACTGATAAATTGATTGAGAAATTGATCTCAATAGCATTACCACCAACTAATGAATTCTCATTGGATTCATTAGAAGGTAGAGTACAAGCTGGTAAGCTGCGACCAGGATTATCTGTACAAACTATGAGTAGAAATTTCATTCAATTAAATTCAAGGTTATCATTCCCATTTGAAATGATTGACAATATAATTAAATTCTTCAATTGGGATAATCCAAAATTAACATTAACAATAATGGTGTTATATACTCATTTAATTTTGAAACCATTACCAATGATGTTAAGTTTACCTTTTTGCCTCATTATTATTTATATAATGGCGCCTGCTTATGCCATTAGACATCAACCTGAATATCATTCAATAATTGGTAAAAATAACCCAATTTTAGCTGAAGGGCCACAATTGAAAGATTATGAAATCCCCAAACCTGCACCTGAAATTTCAAGAGAATTTATATTAAATTTGACTGATTTACAAAATCATATGTTGCTATATGTTATTGCTTGGGATTTCATAAATAACTTATTTGCGAAATTTGCTTATTTTATTGATGAATCGATTTCAAGTTTTTTCTATTTATGCTTTTTAATGATTGGTGGGTTTACAATTTTATTTACTGAAAGTATTATAAGCTTTATTCCAATTAAATTCTTGTTGATTGTTGCCGGTTGGGGGTTTACAATTATTTTCCATCCTTATTTTAAAGATTATTTTTTCAATTTAGTTTATTCTGAAGAAACAAGATATTATTTATTAAACAAGACAAATAAATTCGAACAAATTTTAGAGGAAAATTTTGGTTTTATTGAACCTCAAGAACAAAGAGAAGTTGAAATTTTTGAAATTCAAAATTTTGATAAAAAATTAAAAGAATGGAATTTTTTATTCTATTTAAATAATGATTTTACCAAGTTATCAAAACCAAGATTAGATAAAAAATACACCAATGTTGAAATTATTGGAACTACATCTTTACAAAATGTTAAACCTCCAAAAGATTGGGAATTTATTAAAAATGATCAATGGAAAATTGATTTAAATCCTGAAAGTTGGGTTTCAAATCATCTTTTAAATGATTTAGTCAAGGTTGATAATGAAACAAAATGGGTTTATGATGTTGATAATGATATTAAAGGTGAATTTAGAAGAAGAAGATGGACAAGAAGTGTCACTAGATTTTCTGAAATTGAATTTCAAAAACATAACAATAATAACACTGAAAACCACAACAATAACGATGATGAAAAGCCTGGATTATCACCTTCAGTTTCTCATTTTGAAACTGATCATACTTCTCCATTGGTTGCACCAGTAAGTCCAAATAGTGGAGAATTTAAATAAATTAATGAAATACATGATGATGATGATGACGCTCAATTTTTCATAAATTCATCTAAACTTAATAAACTCGATTTCTTCTTTTCTTGTTCATCTCTTTCCTTTTTACCACTTAATAAATTTGATAAATTATTCTTCTTCCTCTTCTTTGCACGATCTTTTGCACTACTACTTTTCTTTTTCTCTTCATTTGGTTTCCATTTAGCAACAAATGGTTCTTTAACAATGACTTCAGGTTCTTTTATATCCTTTGGATTACTTTCTGGTTTTAATAATTCAAAAAATGTAGCATGATTACATGATAAACATGTATATTTTAATTTTCTTTCCCTTGGCTTCCAGTTTTTTTCAACTTTATCCCCCTTTTTACCCTTTTTACACTTTGTATAAGTGATTCTCATTGTTAAGTTTACACCAGGTATTAAAACCGTTTCACAATTTGAACAAAATTTAACACCATTTGTTATCTGATTTGGTAATGACAAATTCTTTTTCTTGAATGTTTTGTATAATTTACTAGTATATATTGACCCTAATTCAGGGGTTTCAGGGACTGCGTGTGTTATATCATAAAGATGCCTAAGATTCTTTGTGCTAGTACTTTCCATTGTCAATATAGAAAACTTGCAGTTATACAATGTTGAATAAGTTTTCAGCTTTAAAATCTTTTTGGCTCATCAATATTTAAAATTCGCGGCCGCGAATCTGTCGCGAATTCATTCTGTAAAGCATCTGGAATGGGGCACATGACACATAATTTCAACCACAAAAACATTATTTTGAGTATATATTGGACTGAAATGTTGTTCAATTGCTTTTTCATTACTTGTGTCAGTTTCTGAGAAGCCAAAGAAAGACGCTAGTGCAATCACAGCTCTTTTAACAGGGAATGGATACGAGTGTCATCACCGGGTCTTTATTTCATGGTGGTTTGAAGAATTGAATGCAAGTGCAATCACTGCTTCTTTTCGAAGATACAAGTTCAATGAGGTGTTTCAGTTAATCAGGTGTATTGATAAGCTTTAGATTTCGGTGCTGGTTTGACTTTGGTTAAAGTGATGAGCTATAATGGAATTTTGATTGGAAGAAAATATCCAAGAAGCTAGTCAATCAAGATAGATTGATCAAAATCATTGTCAACCTCAAAACTCTATCAAATAACTATTTTCCTTTTTGGTCTGTGTTGATCGTTCTTAGCGATTGACCTAGTCATTGGAGAAAAGTTAATTGATCAACTGAAGCACTCAAAAAACAGACAACAACACAAATTCATAAATTGGCTACAAGTGACTTTTTAGTTCACAGAGCACACATGACAACATTATTCATTTATTGAGCAGGTTCACAATTCTACTTATTCTAGGTGACCTTCTAACATCAGAATAATCATGCAAAGCGTTCACCTTTTTAGGTGATTTCCTTATATTATTTGAATCTTGTTCATTCAATTCAAATTTCAAGTTTTTCAATGCTTTTCTTGGAGATTTTTTTGGTGATTCTTCAGGTGTTAACGTAAATGGTTTATTTGAAGAAGATGAATCTTGAAGAATTGAAAATTTTCTTTTCTTGTTTGGTGATGGGGTATTTAATAAGTCTCTGATACGACAAACTTTCTTTGGAGTTGATGGAGGAGTTTGTAATATTTGTTGAGGATGTTGTGTTTTGAAATCTTCATAATTGGATATAAACTCATCACAATCACTTTGGATTTGATAATCTATTATTCCATTCCATCCTGTTATTATATCCTTATTGATTAAGATAACGATCCCATTCTTTGAATGAACAGACTGTGACATTGATTTCACTAGTTGTTTAACACCGTGAACTTTTAAAGAAGTACCCATTATTATAAATAGATCAGGCCTCGATTTCAAATCTGAATTCAGACCAGTTGTAATTATACTGGAAAAAGGATGATTTTCACCATATAAAACAATATTTGGCCTTAATCTACCTAGTGATGAACTTGTAACTCTTTTACCCAACTCGATTCTTTCATCTCTTTTAGCGATACAATTTGGACATTCTGGTAATTCACCAGATGACAAAGTTTCAAAATCTTCATTTGACCAATTGATTGCCTTATAGCAACAAGTACACGATAAAGTGTTTAAATCACCATGTAATTGTATAACATCCAAGTTTTTCCAAGTTTGTAATAATGTTTTCTCTTGATTTTGTTCAAAATCCATTTTTAAGCCTAATTTGGCTTCTAAACCATCAATGTTTTGTGTATAACACCTTACTAATCTATTCTCTTTTGATAAATTAGAAATAAAATTATGAGTTTTAGTTGGTTGTGCCTTTTGAGTTTCTGAATATAACTTTGACATGAATATAGCAAAATCTGATATCGTTTCATGTGAATTAAATAATGATATATCAAATAAATCTTTACCCTTTATAGGTCTTGAGCTTGGATTCATGTTGTATAACCCATTTGAAGATCTAAAATCTGGAATACCAGCATTACAAGAAATACCAGCACCTGTTAAAGTCACCACTTTTTTACTTTTGGACATCTTGTTGAAAATGGGGATTAAATCATCTGAAATTGAAAGTAGTTTTGTTGACTCCATTTGTAACAATTGTTTCTTATTTTTGGGACTCAACTCTTCCAGCACCATTCTATAAAATTTATTAACTAATTGGACATAAAATGTTGGTGTTTCTCTCTCTTTTCAGGATGGTTTTTTTTTCTTCCTTCAATTTGTATGCAAATGTACGTTATAAATTCAAATTCGCGTTTTTTCGATCCTTTTGTTTACTTTTCATGTTTCCATGACAACCAAGGTACCACTTCCCAATTGGGTAATAACAGATATACACGCGTTTTTTTCTTCTGGTGTCGTTAATGAATTCAATGTTGTTGGTAGTCTAATATACACTTCACTATTAACCTCCCTGGCTGTTAACAGCCAACTCCATAATCAATCTTGTAGCCAAATGTAGGAATGGATAGGCACTAAAACTACTTATTTCATCATCATTTTTACTCAACTCATATTTTGGAGCAACTGCACCATCACTGAATTCCCAACCATCAAATTTGAAATCCACAAGATAATTATTTGGTTCTAATTGGAATAATTGAATAATCATCTTCATCATATCTGGAATTTTGGTATCTTCATTTTCATTTGTATTTGGTGAATATTTCCAACGAACTTTAATTGTCCATAGTTCATCTTCATTTGGTTTAGTCCATTCTGCACCCAAGTTTTTCAGTGCTCTATAGATTTCACCCATAACATCTAATGGATATGATCTTGATCTTATACCAAAATGCCATCTTGTTTTAGATTTCTTGGTACTTATTGGAGTGATCTTGGTTATTGAGTTAGGCCCATATTGAGCCATATTTGCTCTATGTATTTGTGGTAATGATGATGGTAAAATAGCAATTGAATTTTGTAAATCTTTTGTTCCTGATGAATTTGGTGATAATGGTTGATATGTGATTTCCTCTTTTAGACGCTTGTCATTTGAATCTTGATGTTCTTTATGATGTGAAGAACCATCTGGATGATCATAAGATGGAGGTGGTGATTGAGATAAAAATGTATCCAATTGATCAGCTTCATCTGGATTTTTCTTTAAATCATCAATCAACATTTTATTTTCTTTAATTAATAAATAACCATCCATGATTTCATTTTGGGTATTATTTTTCAAAGTTTGAATAATTTCATCACGATCATAACCCATTGTCTTAACAAGAGCATTAACTGCATTTTCATCAATTTTTTTATCGACATGGTTCTTTGGAACGTCATTTGGTAATAAATATTCTGAAATGTTTGTAGTAAACCATTCATCTTGCATTATTTCATGGATTGTAATTCTATTCAATGGATTAACAACAAGCATCTTTGTTAACAAATTTTTAGCACCTTCACTCAAATAGTTTGGTAAAGTGTAAACACCATTACTGATTTTTTTGAATAAAGCAGGGATGAATTCATCATCAAATGGTAAACGTCCACAAAGCATAACATAAAGAATAACACCACATGACCAAACATCAACTTCAGGACCAGCATATAATTTACCACTGATAACTTCAGGAGCTGCATAATTTGGAGACCCACAACTTGTTTTCAAAAAATTACCATCACTCATGAAATTTGATAACCCAAAATCTGCAATTTTAACATTCAACATTTCATCTAATAATAAATTTTCTGGTTTTAAATCTCTATGAACAATCTTGTGACGATGACAATATTCTACTGCACTAATGATTTGTTGAAAGAATCTTCTAGCTTCATCTTCTTTCATTTTACCCTTTTGAACAATGTAATCAAACAATTCTTTACCAGCAAATTCAATAACCATAACGATTTCATCTTTGGACTTAATGACATCATACAATTTGATGATATGAGGATGTCTCAACAATCTCAAATAAGAGATTTCTCTTTCAATTCTACCTTGCATATCAGACTTAGCCAAAGTTTTTCTATTGATGATCTTTAAAGCGACTTTTTGACCAGTTGTTAAATGATATGCCAACTTAACCTTACCAAATGAACCTTCACCTAGGGTTCTGATGATTTGGTATTTACCAATCTTTCCGCCAGGAGCGTTGAAGTCTTGCTTCTCCTCATGGCCAGCAGAGTCTGACATTGTTTCTGGTCTGGATAGCGAGTCTTTGAAGGTTTGTTTGTGTTGATGCTTTTGTTGATGATTCAGTTGACGTCTGACGTTGTCATGATTTTGCCTTTGATGGGGCCGCGAACTTTACCCGGTGGTAGCTCATTCGCGAAAGATGGTCATGTGATCATGGTGTGTAATAAACTTGAGGCATAATAATCAGAATCAAACGTATGAGAGTGGGATTGGGTATCTAGAATTTGATCAATAGTTTGTTTGAAGTGAGTTTAGGGGGTTTATCTTTGGGATTACATGTGCTCAGTAATTGCCTTCGTTATCATAGTTGGTTCGCTTTAAATTTTGAAGAAAACCCATCAGATATTGAAAGATCTCGAGAACCAACAACGGATTGCCCTAATTCCCTTGAACGAAGTCACCAAAAGCAAAAGTATTTGCTAATGGGGAGTCAATCAACGAGTGCAGAGTCATCTGTTCTACAAAGAGAAGTCAGTTGTACAAGATAAGATGCTGGAACTTGGTGTACAGTTAGGTTTGATCAATTCACTTTCAAGAGCAAAACGAATAGAAAAAGCTGAACAATGAAGCTTGACCAAGACATATATTTGCATATTCTAATCAATTCAGCGCATTCCCACCAAAAGCAGCATCATGATTTGGACCCTTCTTCTTGATGGTGATTACCATTATAAGTAACCATCGCGACATATCAAAAATTTCAACACCTACAAGATTCTAAACAGTTGCAAGATATCCAACAACGATCATCGATAGAAGTTCCAAGGATGATATGTGCCGAAAATTTATCATCAATACAATGACTACGATAAGAGTTTGCTATCCAGATACGGGGTATCTTTTAGTTATTTAAAGATATTTAAAGGTCCAATTATTTCTCATATGGACATCACCATCTTTATTGGAAAGGACTAATCCCTTGAACAATGTCAGAAAAGAAAACAGATCAGAATAACATCAATCAAGTGAACTCAAACTCTGCAACTGGAGATTATGAAGATTATGAGCTTGGTATCAATGGACCAAAGATCCAAAAGGATAACAATGCAGATATTGCATTACAATATGCCCAAGAAAATGACCTAGACTTTGTTATGGATCCAGCTTATGAGAAAAAAGTGTTGAGGAAAATTGATTGGATGTTGATTCCATTATTAGGCTTATTACAATCAGTTCAGTTGTTAGACAAGACAACAAATTCTTACTCTTCAATCATGGGGTTAAGAGAAGATCTAAACATGACAAGTTATCAATATTCCTGGGTTGGAAGTATTTTCTATTTTGGTTATTTGTTTTTTGAATATCCTGCAAATATCTTGCTACAAAAATTCCCACTAGCTAAAACGGTTTCCACTGCTGTTATTATTTGGGGGATTATATTAATGTGTCATGCCGCTTGTCAAAATGCTGCTTCGTTTTTAGTCTGTCGGTTCTTATTAGGTGTTTTTGAATCATTCATGAACCCTGCTTTTATGATGTTAACTTCTCAATGGTGGAAGCAAAAAGAACATTTCATGAGATCTTGCTTATGGTTTGGGTTTCAAGGGTTTGGTAATTGGATGGGTGCTGGTATATCCCACGGTTTAGCAACATATAGGGGCGTTGACGGGCATAGTTTTGAATCATGGAGGCTATTACATATAATAACAGGTGTGATGACTATCTTCTTGGGTATAGTCTCCATTTTACACATCCCAGATATCCCAACTAAAGCTTGGTTTTTAAATGAAAAGGATAAGAAATACGTTGTTGAAAGAATTAGAGAAAATCAACAAGGTTTTGGTAATAAAAAATACAAAAAGTATCAAGTTTTGGAAGCTTTTAGAGATCCTGCAACTTACCTTGCATTCATTTATGCCTTTACATATGCCACTGCAAACGGTTCTTTCACAAATTTTGGTACTATTTTATTGAATCAAGATTTTGGATTCTCAACAACCACATCCTTATTAATGGGAATGCCTGGTGGTGCTTTAGATATAATCTACTCTCCATTCTTGGCTTACGTGAATTATAAATTTATGAACAATAGAAGGTTGATCAGTTGTGCAATAACAAATTGTATCACAATCATTGGTATGTCATTACTAAATTTCACAGATCATAGAGGTTCTAGATTAGCTGGGTATTATACATTCTACATCACGACTGCTGTTATGTCAGGTATGCTTTCCATTGTCTCGTCAAATGTTGCAGGTCATACCAAAAAATCAACTGTTACAACTTTATTCTTTGTCGGTTATTGTGTTGGAAATATTAGTGGACCACAAACTTTCAAAGGCAGCGAAGCACCAAATTACCATTCAGCAAAAGCTACACTGCTTGCATGCTATATAATTGGTACAATTTGCATCTTGGGCTTATTTGCGCTTTACCAGCACAGAAACAAGATTAGAGATCAGAAGAAAGCTGAATTGGGTGATAAATACATTGTACCTGAAAACGTTGAGTTCTCTGACTTAACAGATAAGGAAAACTTGGAGTTCAGATATTCCTTGTGAGTGTACAAAAAACTATTTGTACTAAAAATCTAAGCATTGAAAGTCGTAGAACTTCAGTACAGAGTAATTTAACGAAATATTGTTTATATCTCGACCAAGTCACATGATTTTGTCCTCGGAAATCAGAAAAATCCATTGTTTTGATTTTTTGAAACCAACAAAAAAAAATCAAAAACGTAAACAACGACAACAACGACACGCTACTCGGTTACAAAACAATTTGGTGTTCATTGAGGACTTCATCACAGTCGAAATGGATGAGAACGAGTACTTGCAGCCAGGTATGTTTATAAATGGCAAAATCTCTACGCGTTTTGTGTTTACTAACATCAACCTGTTTAGATTTTGATCCGGCATCTTATAAAATACCACAATTAAGAAATGTCCTTTTACAAAATGATGTGTCCTATCCAAACGGTGCCAAAAAGAAAGATTTAGTGGAATTATTCAACACTCATATCAAACCTACAGCTGAAGGTAGATTGAAGGAGCTTCAAGGTGTTGTTGCTAATGATGAAGGTATTGTTTATGTTGAGAAAAAATCCAAGAAATCCAAAGATACAGAACAAAATTCTTCGTCAACCCTAAAAGTGGAAAAGACAAGAAAAAACCCTTCAAAGAAAGCCAAAGAAACAGAAGAGCCAGAGGTTAGAAGATCACCAAGAAAAACTAGCAAATCAACTATGCTTGAGCAACTAGAAGCTGATGATTCTGATGATGATATTCAAATTATTGATGAATCACAAGTCTCCCCAAGAAAAGCAAGAGGTTCAGCAAGAAATGCTAGTGGTGATTTAGGCAAAATCCCTGTCTTGAAGAAGTCACCTCCAAGAACTAGAGAAAGATCACCAAGAAGAAAGGCCTCTGGAAATGCCAAAAGTGAAGAACCTGAACAAAGTGAGGAATTCAAACCAAGAGAAAGATCACCAAGAAGAAAAGTCTCAGATAAAAAAGACTCCAAAACAACTAGAGAAAGATCTCCAGCTAAAAAGGTCAAGGAAGAAACCAAAGCGGAACCAAAGCCTAAGAAGGAAACTAAGAAGAAGTCGAAAGCAAAAGAGGAACCAAAGCCAGAGGATCGCGCTGGTGATGAAAGTGATGATGCTGATCTTGAACAAGTTACCCAACAAGAATTCGAGCAAGCTTCACCATACAAGTTTGGTTCCAAGTTTGAGTCTTCTTTTTCAAAAGATAATGTGTTCCAATCTCCAGGTCACTCATCTCCAGATGTTAAACCTAAAAAGACAATTCCAAGAAAGCGTGCTTCTGAAAATACTTCCAAATCACCAAGAAAATCCACTAAATCTATTAGAAAGACTGCTTTTTCATCTTCTCCGGAACCTGCTCAAAATATCAAATCACCAGCTAAAAAAGCACTGGAAATCTCCAAATTTGAAACTTCTTCTCCTCCTTCAAACTTTGTGAAAAATGATATTGCTGAAGGTGATATTTTTGAATCTGAAGAATTTTCAAAACAACCTTTCAAATTTGAAAATGTGACTGAAAAGATTCCAAGCTCTATCAAAAAGCCAACTATCAATAAAAATGATAAGTTTGAAACTCCAAACGATGGAAATGCAAGCAAAATTTCAAATTTGAGCTCAGCTTCCTCGACACCCTCAAAGTCTGGTATCAAAAGAAAATCACTTTTACCAGATTTTTCCAAGTTCAAAGTTAGTCGCGAGTTTGCTAAAACTTTAGGTATCACTGTCCAAGGAGAGCCAGAACAAGAATCAAATGAACAAGATTCCAATAAGGATGAAGATCCAGAACTCATCGATATTGCAGGTGATGATGAAGATGAAGATGAAGAAGACAGTGATGAACCAGAACAAACTGCTAATGATGATTCTGTTTTGCGTAATTTACAAGAGGAAATTGATTCTGCTAATTCTGTGGTCCAAAAAGAAGCTGATGATGCCATCAAACAAGTTAATGATATCTTCAATGAGGATAAAGATACTGAAAATGTTTCTTCAAATGATAAGTCTGAAAAGTCCACACCAAAAAATAAATCAGGATTCAAATTCTCAGCTGTTTTTGGCTTTTTTAAACAACTATTTGTTTTCTTCTTTTTCGTGTTCATCGTTATATTTGGTCTTTGGTATCGTGAACAAAGAATCTTGATTGGTTATTGTGGTAATGAAATTGACCAACCAACTTTTCCAAATGCTCAAAATGAATATTTAATCAGATTTGATGAATTTTTACAAACTTTGAAACCAAAATGTCTTGAAGCTCCAGAAAACGCTATCACCCTTCCAAACTTGAAAATCAAGTGTAGACCAGATTATGTTGTGTATGAACCATGGTATAAAGTTCATGGTTTCTTCCCATTTAGTGATTATTGTGTCAAAGATGAAGAAAAGGAAAACATCATCAAAGAAGTTGTATCAAAGAGTTTGGAATTGTTAAGAACAAAGAATGCGGAAACTAAATGTGGTGACGGTGATGATTTTGAAGTTGGTATTTCTGATGAAGAGTTATATGAATTCTTTTTTGAATCTAAATCAGTAAGTTGAATTGAAGAATTATATTGAGTTTCAATACTAACGATAATAACAGTCTACAATAAGTGATGACGAATTTGATGAGCTATGGTCCAGAGTCCTTGTTGACTTGAAAAATGAACCTGAAATTACTGTAAGGCATGTCTGATTATAAATTTGTGGAAAAATATTGAATTACTAACATTTAATAGTTACGTTATACCAGAGATAACGATACAGGATCAACCAAAGACGACCTATCCTCCGATGAAGATGAAGAGGAGACATATCTTCCAAAAGAACAGACGATTTTTAGATCCAATTCGAAAGTGAAGTTAAGTATAAGATGTAAATTTCAAAAAGAAGTTCATGAAAACTTCGAAAGAAATAAAAAAGTTTTAATTGGGAGTTCATTGATTTTATTTACCGTTTTATTTTTATACCAAAAAATTGTTTCATATCAAAAAAGACAATCAAAAATTAAAGAAATTTCAGACATTATTATAATCAAATTACAAAAACAACAAAAAAATGCAATTAGTGATTCAACAGGTTTAACAAATAGATATGTTAGTAATATTCAATTACGTGATGAACTTTTATCAAATTTAAAGAATTCAGAAAAATATGAAATTTGGGAATCAATTTTGAATAATCTGGAGAAAAATTCTAATGTTAGAGGTTCCACAAGAGAAATTCATGGTGATATTGTTAAAGTTTATGAGTGGATTGGAGAATGAATTCACTAATTTTTTTTTAAAAATTATTTTTTCTATCTCAGTTTTATTGGAAACTATTGTATTATACTTTTTATACCCCTTTTTTTTAAAAAGACAACAGCTACTAGTGCGTGTATACTAATTAATTAAATGAAAGTAATGTTTATATGTCCCCAACTAGTAGAGCACTTTCAATGGAAGTGCAAAAGATAAACAAAGCCGAATCATGTGAAATATTGACTGCCTACAAAATGCATCAAATAATATTTTCAAATAAAATAAAAGTAATATAATAGACCGTCCTCTGTATAATAATTCAAGATAAAAAAAAGGAAACCAAAGTAAGTGTAAAAGATTAAAAGTCCATCACAAACATAATGATAACATCACAAAAAATAGATAAAACCCATAATAAAAAGAGCAAGACAAAAACAAAACACATGCAACCCCAAAGAACAAAAAAAAGCTTCAAACTCATAAAACCATCATTACCCCAATGAACAAATTAATAACAATAAAATAAAATCGAAAAGAAAAACTAAATCAGAAATACCGATCATTGTTTAGCAATTTTTCTGTATCTGATAAAATTTTCTCATCATCAAATATATCTTCAACGTTACTTTCAGATGATTTTGAAGTTAATATAGAAGATACTTCAGAATTTGAATTTGAAGGTTGATTAATTATTGGTTCATCTTCTGGTTTTTTATCAATAGATTTCTTTGGAGTTAAAGATTTCATGAATTTAGCTTGCGGTTGAGATAAAGATCTTTTCAAAGAATTGTTTTTCTTGGTCACTGCATTAGAAGAAGTATTGATACTTGTTGAAGATCTTGCTAGTTTTTTCTTTTTAGGTCTTGAGCTCTTGCTATTATTAGCAAATGTGTTGACATCTGTCATGATGATTTGAAATCTATTGTTATTATTGTTTGAAGGTTTCTTAATAACTTGTTTTTCAGTTTCAGTAGCTTTTTTGAAGCACCCCATTTTAGGTATCGAAGGTATTTGAGATGGAGGAGGTGGTGGAGCTATTTGAGGAGGTTGATGAACAACAACATTGTTATTATTCGACATCTTTGATGTTGGTGTTGGGGAAGGTGGAATCATTTTACCTGAGCCACTAGGATTTATATTTTCATCATTTTTCATAGCTGAAGACCCTATCTTGATTGTTGTTGGTGAAGAATTCAAAGTTGTTGTGTTTTGTTTAGTCAACTTAGGAGTTTCAAATATTTCAACTTTTGAGTTAAACAGTTGGTTCTTTAAAGGTGTAAAGTTTTTACCAACACTATTATTTTGATGGTTTGCTGAAGTTTCAATGTTTTTCAAAAAATTCGGAGTACTGAAATTGATATTTAAATTCTTCAAAGGAGTTCTTCCGATTTGGGGCGTCTTTGATACTATTGGTGATTCATTGATAATGTCTCTATAAAATCTTTCAGGTGAATTGAAGAACAGATCTAAGTTCAGATCTTGAGAAGTGGTTCCAAAACTTGAGTTGTTGATGTTGGCACTATTGTTTAATGTATTTTGAAGAATGTGGTTTGACATTGGTGTATTCTGAAAGATACCGTCCTGTATATTACCCAGACTGTTTACCCATTGATCATAATCCAGAGATTGGTTTGGGTTCATGTTGACATTTTGGCTTTGGTTTTGGTTATGGAAGTTTTGGTTTGGATCATTCATAGTTCCAAGTTTTTTCTCTTCTTAGGATATTATGGGATGGAAATAAACAATGTCTTGCGGAAGCAATGAAAAGCGAGTGGATGGGCCTTGAGACTCTAGTGAAGCGTAGCAGTGTATTTGAAGTAGCACAGTTGACCTAATTCAGTATCTTCAGCAGCGATTCAAGACTCCGGTGGGTGTTGTTGGTGTGAGTTGATGGTGTTTGTTTACATCTGGATGTGGTTTGTTTTGATTTTTTTTTCCATTTGCTTTCTGAAACTTGAAACGCAGAACGCGTTCGCGGAAGTCGGATGTGAGCCACTAATCACGTGAATGCAATCCGAGGGGTAAACAAAAGCCCAGTTCAAAACGTAAACAAATAAACACAACTTTTGTGATCAGATCAGATCCATCGAGAACAACTACAATCAGGACAACGGCAATGACGACCATGCAGCAGTCTCCTACAAAGCAGATAACAGAACGCCTCCAGCGTCTCAACTTGTACTCTGGAGATGAACCTCAATCGAGAAATGTGAGAAGTCAATCTGAGACCCTAACCAGTGCAAAGAATCATCTTCATATTCCCAAGCTGATATTTAACCAAGACTTTGCTGATGAGAGTAGAGTTGGTGAAAATACTGATATCTTCAGAAGCCCGGACTCTGGTGCTGCTGATATAGACTCAGATGCTACAGTGGATGAAGGTGATACCGTGGTACATAATAAGGAAAATGCTGATACAACACTGCCAGATTGGATGGCTGTTAAGCTGAAGATGCAATCATCAACTACGACAAAGAAAAATCCTGCTAAACCCAAACTTATCAATAGAAACAAAGAATTCAGATCAACTCATTTGAAACCAAAGTTGGTTAGTAGTGTTACAGATTCAGAAAGTGAATCAGAAATTTTCAAAAATGAAACTTGGGAAGAGATGAAAAAACAATATGATATAGGTGGGTTTGATGACGATGATGATGATAAATCAATTGAAGAGAGTGGTGGTGTTGATGATACAATTACTGAGGCTCGCAACTTGAATGATACAAGCGCTTATAGTTTCCAAGATATGAATAATTTAAGAATTATATCAGATGCACAAACTTCATCTAACGGTACCAAAAAAGTCACATCTTTCAAGTCAGACTATATTGACTCACCAATGGCAGCTCCAAAGATTTTAAAGAGTTTCAAACAACAAACAAAACCAAGTTACACTGAAACAGATGACAAGGCCAACGATAAAGTGGAAATTAAATTGATAACACCCGTTGAAATGAACATGAAGTTTGATCCAGACGATGGTAAATGGGTATCACCTGAGCAAGTGCATGAACCCAAACCAAAATATGATGATATACTGGTAATTGAAGAAGAAATTAAGAAACCAGTTATTAAAATACTTGAACCTACACCAGATAATACCATGAAAACTACGCTAGATATTGATCCTCAACAAATCACTAATGTTTCACAATTGGATCTTTCATTTTCAGAGTCAAGAAAGACATTGATCTCTGCTTTGACTAGTGTTATAAAGCCAAAAACGGATTGGGATAAGGTTGATGAAGTTGACCTCTCACATAAAAGGCTAATAACAGTTAAAAGTCTTGAAGAATTTTTACCTAAACTGCTGGAAATAAACTTAAATTTCAACAATTTAACAACAATTGAAGGGTTATCTTCAAATTTACAAAGTGTTTCCATATCACATAACAAAATAAGTGACCATTTTTTGAATTTTAAGCAATTTCAATATCTTCACAAAATTGATATTAGTTTTAACAAGTTGACTAATATGAAACTTTTCCAAAATCTAAGAAATTTGAGAGAATTGAACTTGTCAAATAATGATATCAAAGATTTTGTGGAATTACCTTCCTTACAGGTATTAAATGTGTCTAATAATGAGATAAACGGAGAATTGAACTTTGACAACTTCAAATTCCCAAATTTAGAAGTTTTAGATTTGAGTGGGAATAAACTCAATAAAGTTGATATGACGGGCTTAAAACAGTTGAGAATTTTGAAATTAAAGAATAACGAAAACTTGCAACACTTAGAGATTGAGGAAAATTCAACTAAACTAAAAAAATTAAACTTGGTGGGGTTGAAAAAATTGTCAAAATTTGAATGCTTGGATAAGTTACAAAGTTTAAGATCATTATCAATTGAAGGGACAACTTTAGTGAAAGGTAATTTTCCAAGATTGGAGACATTGAAAGTCATTAATGACAAAAAACTTGAGAACCTTTTCAATGGATCCATTAAAGTGAATAAGCATTTATTATCAATAACATTAGAAGAATGTTCAATTGATTCTAAAGTATTATTAAACATGAATAAATTTCATTCAAATTTCCCACACTTACAAAGAATCAGTCTTGAAAATAATGAAATCAAAGACAATTATTTAAACTTAGTTGTCTTTTTCCAAAAGTTCAAGAATTTACAAAAAATTAAATTAGATAATAATCCAATAGTTGATGAATTGAAAAATGAACAAGATAAAAGGCTGTTTAAACTGATGATCAAGAAGCTGACTAGTGATTGCTGAGAATATAAATTATTGACACTGACTTTTATGGATGATGTTAATATAATAAATCAATTGGACGATAATATAATTTATGATAAACTTGTAAGATAATCTTCGGACATTGGTGCCCAGAATTAGATCAGGGTAAATATTCGCGAACTGAAAATTTTAATGATTGTTTTTCATTTGTTTCTAATTGGGGATCTTCTACCTTCATGTTTATCTCTTTGTTGAGCCATAAGTTTTGAGAAATTCGTTTGAATTATATATTGCATTATTTCCAAATGATACTATCAGTCTGTTTGAGAGGAAAGAATCAAAAAAAATTAATCTTTTGGACATTTTAGAAGATACGATGCAATTTGCCAATTGCTATCGAGTAAACAAGGTGTTTTTTTGATTGAGTACGAAAGTTGACCTTAGTTAACTAATAAAGCTCCATAGGAGTCTATGGAACCAGCTAGACATCCAAGCTGGAATCATTCAGATTAATAAATTCTATCATTTGAATGTGGTATGTATTGATGCTGATATGACTAAACAATGTTTACTACTTTTCTTGATATTCAATTGAGACTTTATCGATTGATTCAATTAAAGATACAGTACATGATATTATTTTCACCAATATTACTTTACAAAATTGTAGAGCTATACCCAATTACAATTTTGGTCCTCTGTCAAACTTCACGTCAAAACGGAACCATCAACCAATAAGGGCAAACGCGTTCAAAGGAATAATCCCGAGAAGGTACCATTATAAGTATTACTTTCCCCAACATCTTCGAGAACCAAGTACTATTGATGATGGTATGGGTTTATAAATCCAACAAGATCTTGAGAATGGTATAGATTTCTTTAAAGCTTCTCAATCTCAAAATGATGGCTCAAGAGAATGCACAAGTTCAATTAGCAGAAATTGGTTATAAACAAGAGTTGAAAAGAACTTTCAATACTATTCAAGTATTTGGTATAGCATTTTCTATTATGGGATTATTACCAAGTATTGCAACAACAATGTCAATTGGTCTAACATCAGGATCTATTGGATTAGTTTGGGGTTGGTTTTTAGGTGGTGCCTTTATTTTAACAATTGGTATTGGGATGTCTGAATTAAGTTCTTCAATTCCGACTTCTGGAGGATTATATTATTGGACTCATTATTATGGACCAATAAAATTTAAGAATTTGTTATCTTTTGTTATTGGTTGTTCAAATACTATAGCATTAGCTGGCTCAACTTGTTCTATAACTTATGGATTTGCTCATCAAGTACTTGCTGCAGCTTTCTTAGGCTCTAATGGTTCTTTTGAAATTACTGATGGTGAAGTTTATGGAGTTTTCGCTGCTGGTATCTTTGGTGAAATGTTTATTACATGTTTTGCCAGTTCAGCTATTTCCAAATTACAAACAGCTTCAATCATTGCTAATTGTTTATTAATTATTATATTCTTTATTGCATGACCAATTGGAACTGCCAAAAGTTCAAGTTTTAATAATGCAACTTATATATTTGGTCATTTTGAAAATCATAGTGATTGGAATGATGGTTGGACTTTTATGCAATTTGGGTTATTACCTGCAATTTGGTCAATTGGAGCTTTTGATTCATGTTTACATATGTGTGAAGAAGTTAAAACACCATCTAAATCGGTTCCTATTGGTATAATTGGTTCGATAACAGTTTGTTGGATCTTGGGTTTTTTAATAATGATTGTTATATCTGCATGTATGACACAGGATGTTGAAAGTTTAATAAATACAGATTTAGGACAACCTTTAGCTCAAGTGTTTTATGATTCTATGGGTGCTAAATGGGCCATTGCATTTATGTCATTATGTGCATTTTGTCAATTTTTAATGGGGGCAAGCATTTTAACTGCAATTTCAAGACAAGTTTGGGCATTTGCTCGTGATGATGGATTACCTTTTTCTTCAATTGTTAAAGTGGTTAATAAAAAATTGGCTGTCCCATTAAGAGCTATAGTTTTCAGTGCAATTATTTCATTATTATTAGGATTATTAATATTGGCTGGATCAATAGCTGCTAATGCACTTTTTTCAATAGCAATAGTTGGTAATTATGCTGCTTGGGCAATGCCTCAAATCTTAAGGTTTACATCAGGTAGAGAATTGTTTAAACCTGGATATTTTTATTTGGGGAAGATATTTTCACCTTTAATTAACTTTATATCTATCATATTCCAAGGATTTATGATGATTTTAGCATGTTTCCCCGATAATAAGAAAGTTAAAGATGCTAAATCAATGAACTATGCAGTTGTGGTGAATTGTGGTGTTTGGATCTTGTCTATAGTTTATTATTATGCATACAAGAAACGGGTTTATTGTGGTCCTAAATCAAACTTGGGTGAAGATCAACTAATAGAAGCAGCTATGTTAACGAAAGAAGAGATTGAGATGGTTGATCATAAGAAGTAATTGAGCTATAATTAATTCAACATGGTGATTATTTGTAGATTATTCGAGTATTTAGCTTTAATGGCATAATAAGGAAGTTCATTAAATTATAATGGTTTGAAGCCATGGTCTCGACTGGGTAACGTTTTTCGCGGGCGCGCACGCCCATTTGAAAAATTTAGCCTCGAAGCGAGTTTGTAACATTCAACAACAACTAACCACTTTTCCAACTTTGAAGTGTTGAATACCTATTAAGTTCATTACTAGTATAAAATTTGCGTTTCTGATGTTTTTAACTTAATGTTTAAAGTTTCTACTATATTCGAGGTGAAGACGTCATATGAAGGACCGTTGCAGTGTCGTATGAATCTCTCTTATATTGACTTCTTCATGTGTTATTATGTGAGAATCAATTTTACTCAATTGAGATTCAAATACTCACTCTAGTGATCACTATTTATGAGTGCAATAGGCTAGCTTTCGAACTAGAATTCTGTCTCGATATGTTACTTCACTAGGGTCAATTTTGATAATTAATTAATACTATAACAAACCAGAGATCTATGTGAATTATGTGCATGTAGTTAGTTCAAAAATAATGACATTTAATTATAGTCCAGCCTATACACTTTTCAATACCCTTTCACTTCAATAATCTGTTCCACAGTATCATGAATAGTTTGTTTTAATGATTTAAATTTAAATCCTAAAATCTCTTTTGTTTTTGAATTATCTAAAATAACCCTTTTCTTTAAAATTTCTTCATCACTACCAGGTTCACCTTTAGGAATTTTATCATTCAAGATTGGGAATTCTTTATGGATCAAATCTAATAAAGTTTGTTCAGTAAATGTAGATTCTTTTAAAATCAATCTTTTATTGATTGTATTTTCATTTTGGAATGCTAATAAATGAGCTTTTGCCACATCACGAACATCAATGAATGAACCTTGAAATTTTTTATAATTCTCACCATCTCTGAAGAAAGAATAAATGAAATCATTTGAAAAATTCAATTGATTCTCAATTGATTCTTTAAATAATTGAGGTCCAAATACAAAAACTGGATTTACAACACTTGTTTCAAAAGTTGGGGTTTTAGATTTAACAAATTCCCAAACAGCTTTCTCAGCAAATGTTTTAGAGGCAGAATATCCATAAGTTGATGGATCCGCAATAGCTTGATCCCATGTAACATCATTCCAAGATTCTTCAGTTTCAACAAATTTTGGACTTTCACGATTTTTGGAATGAACTGCAGAATTTGATGAAGTGTAAACAAATCTCTTCACATTAGTACCAAATTCTAAGATTGAGTTCAATACATTTTCAGTACCGTTTATAGCAGGTTTTAAATAAGTTTCTTCAACATTTCCTTCAGTTTTAGTAACTGGTGAAGCTGTATGTAAGACAATTTCAATATCTGGATTCTCTTTCAACACTTTATCAAAATCTTGTTTAGATTCAATCAAATCTTTGATAACAACATATGAGAATTTATCATTTTGAAACAATTTAACCAGATTATCACCTTTGGCAATTGAACGAACTGAACCAATAACTTTATTCTCTTGTTTTAGTAATTCATCAATGATGTACTGAGCAATGAATCCAGTGGCACCAGTGATGAAAACAGTTTGAGAGGGCATGATGAGGTACTTTGGATATTAATAAGTGAGCTAAAGATGGAGCAAATAACAACAAGGATCAAATTCTCCCTCAATTCATCTTTAAACTGATTTGTAATTGCCACAATTTGATAGATTAAAGCTGTAAATTCTTCGCGAATTTGACTGGATTTGATTAGAATTTTACCACATTAATCAGATTGATGAAATGAACAATTAATCCATGGACAATAGAATGATTTGTTGAGGAATTGAATGGTGAGCATCTACATGAACACTAGGACTCGATGTTCTCAAAAGAAGGTTGGTAATCGGAGCAATTGTTGGAAAAGTTGAACATCATCTCACCGGGAAAGGCCTCCATCAGAACCAGCGAATGCATATTTAGGTTATTCACTGTTCAGTACAACTCATGAGCTGCAGTTAGTTAAGCTTTCAAGGTGTAAAGTTTGAACACTGTTCTCGTATCAAAAAGATCTGTTGTTTGTGGTTTTGTGGGTTTTGAATCATGGTTCATGATTGGGATGTTCATGAATCATCAATATTAAAAGAGTTTATCCGATCCAATCATGGGGCAGAAACCAGGATATTGCTCTCTTTGGTGTACAAACATAGTCTTACACAAGAACTAGCTCAAGTTGATACTTTACAAAGACCAGCTTCTTCTGTTACAAATCTACCCATCCTCGACCTCTTTTGGTTCCATTAATTGCATATAGTTGTTGTAACTTGTTGCCTGTTGCCTTTTTGACCCAGCCAATTGAAGCCGATAGCGTTAATATCCACCCACTGTTTCAGAAAGTCTTGGCTTTCAAGAATTTTCTTTTCTGCCTCTAAAACGAGTTCTAGGTTGGATTAAATTTTGCAAATCAAGCGCATTAGGCTTGTAATTTGACAACCATGGAACACGCTCGAGGTGTTAAATACACAACCAGGTGTGAAACTTCCAGTATCTAATTGGACTAAAGAAGCTACAATGTCACTTCCTCTGATTGGATTAACCTAAGCACGCTCTTCTACTCTCTCTACATCTAATTCTGAAATGACGTTCCTTTGAAGTCGTCTCTTTGCCAAAAAAAAACCACGATGCAGTTCGCAACGTTCACAAACTATAACACCAAACACACACGCTAATTACAACCAGAAATTGGACCGGAACGGGCTTATTTCACTGGCCTTTGAAATCTGAAATCTCTCATCGCTTTCACAAGTGATTGAAAACAGTTTTACACATCATCAAGGCTTATATCTTACACCTTTTACTGCTGCAACAGCCTATGGAAAGTCTTGGGCCCAAGAAAGTCGAGACCGATCCGATGACCAAGCTTTTGTGTACGGAGAGCGGGCCGGATGCGCATCCGATGCCTCGGAAGTGTAACGATTAAACTGATATTTACATAACCAAAACCTGCTCTTCACGTTTTGACAACCACTCAATTTCAAGTATCAGCCGACAAACCTCCGTTAATTACCTTGATTTTTAAGGCTTGCACGCATGTTTTAGTGCTCATACAATTAACAAAGATAGACACTAGTGCTAGACTCTAGTGGCTAGTGGCTACACTAGGTTTAATCAAATATGCATCATGAAATCGGTACATCTGTGTATCTCTAATTTATTCAAATTCACGAAGCACTCAACTGCATACACAACAGTTCAAGACACATTTCCATGAAAAAAAAACTTTTCTTGAAAGGTATTTAAAAACTCAAATCTCGTTCTTATTGATCTTTTTGATAATTCATATAACCATATTTAATACCTCAACTGTACAACAACTAATCATTAGGTTCAATTATGTCATATGATCCAGAGAAAACCTCTGGTGTCAATTTGAAAAATGATCACGTCTTAGATTCAACAATCAATTATGAAGATTATTCAAATGATTTGAAATTAAACAATATTTCTTCAAACTCTTCAAACTCCTCAGGTTCACAAAAGTTATCAGAGGCTGTTGATATCACTGAAGATGATGTCAATGCAATTGTTCCAACAGAAGATTATGAAGGTGATGCAAATACTTTAAGAATGTGGGTTTTGTCATTTGTCTTTGCAACTGTTATTGCTGGTGTAGATTCCTTCTTCCAAATGAGATTCCCAACCATCCATATTGGTGCTATTGTGGCACAAGTTGTTTCTTATCCAGTAGGGAAATTATGGTATTTGGTGTTACCAAATTGGTCATTACCTTTACCAATGGGTAAAAAAATTTCTTTAAACCCTGGTCCTTTCAATCAAAAAGAACATGCTTGTGTTTTCATTTTTGTTAATTATGTTGTTTCCGCTGCTTTAGTCAATAATAGTGTTGTGGAACAATTCAGATTCTTTGATATGAATATTGGTATCGGAAGAATGATTCTTTTCCAATTATCAAGTTATTTATTTGCATTTTGTTTAGCAGGTTTAGCAAGACCAATTTTGGTTACTCCAGCAAATGTTGTTTGGCCTGGTATCTTATCAACTTGTGCTCTTTTCCAAACCTTCCATAATCCAACTAATGAACGTGCAGGGAAATGGAAGATTTCAAGATTTAATTTCTTCACAATTGTCTTTGTTTGCTCATTTGTTTGGTTTTGGTTCCCTGATTTAATCTTGCCATTCTTATCAACAATTGGTGCTTGGATATCTTGGATCAGACCTGATAATGCAACATTATCTCAAGTGTTTGGTGTTAATACTGGATTAGGGTTATTTCCTTTAACATTCGATTGGACTCAAATCACATCTTTAAGTAACCCATTAAGTACACCTTTTTGGTCTATTGGCTGTATTTTTGTTTCATTTGTCTTTTGGATTTGGATTGTTATGCCTGCATTATATTATCAAAATAAATGGCAAGTTGCTCATTTCCCAATAATGACTTCATCAATTTATAACGTCAAGGGGAAATCTTATGATACTTCAAAAGTTGTTGATAAGCAATACAGACTTGATTATGATAAATTCAAACAATATTCACCAGTTATGTTACCAATTGCATTTTTAATGAATGTTGCATTAGGGTTAGCTGCTTTTTCTTCAATGATGATTGCATTTTTTTTCAGATTCAAATCAGATGTTCTTGAACCTTTGAGAAACCAAACAAAAGATGTTCATAATGATGCTTTAGCCAAATATACATCATATCCTCGTTGGTTTTATTTGATTTGGGGTGTTATTGGTTTAGCTTTTGGATTTGCATTCTTTGAAGGTTTTGATCATGAAACTCAATTAAGAGCTGGTGGATTTATCGTATCAGCCGTCATCTCAGCATGTGTTTTCTTACCTTTAGCATTGATTGAATCAAGATCAAATTTCCTAGTTTCATTAGCTGCGTTCTTTGAAGTTGTTGCAGCTTTCTGGTTTGGTGGCCAACCTATAGGATTGATGTATTTCTATATGATGGGTTTTGGTACAATGCAACATGCTATGCATGCTTCTCAAGGTGCAAAAGTTGGTCATTATATGAAAGTTCCACCAAGAACTGTCATGACACTATTATTGATTGGCTCTATTTGGGGTGCTTGTGTTTCACCAGCGGTAACTGGTTACATTTTGAATCATTTTGAAAACATTTGTACTCCAGAAGCTAAAAACCATATGGTTTGCAGAAAATCAAAAACTCAATTCAATACATTAGTTGTTTGGGGTTTGTTTGGTAAACATATCTTTGCAAGTGGAGGTAGATATGTCTGGGTGTTATGGTTCTTCTTAGTTGGTGCTGTTGTTGCTGCTTTAATGTGTCTATTACAATGGAAATTCCCAAAACATATAATCTTGAAGAAAATTAATCCAACCTTGTTCTTTGGAGGTGCTGGTAATATCCCTAGTGTTACAGGATTCAACTATTCAACATGGTTTGTGGTTGGATTCATTTTGAATTTCATAATCCATAGAAGAAAACATGCTTGGTGGAAGAAGTATAACTTGGTTCTAGCTGTTGGGTTGGATTGTGGTGTTGCAATTGCAGCATTGTTGATTTATTTCTGTGTTGTTTATACTGGTGGTTCATCCAATTACAAGTGGTGGGGTACTACCGTATCCAAAACTGGGTGTGACCATAAAGGATGTCCACATCTAACGTCCAAGGTAGTTCCTCCAACTGGTTGGTGAAGGCTAGTACTTAATTGATGTTTCCTATACGTTTATGAAAAATTGTAGCGCTAATTCTCAATGTTTTGTTTCAACTTTCAGCACTGCCAAACATCACGGGCTTACAACGATTTCGCGAAAATGAAAAAACACAAACGGGTTTAAAGTCCGACTATTTCCGAAGCATAACTGTTATCGTGCGAGCATCACACTTATACAATAGCCTTTGGCAATTGACTATTACTATCTAGAGAAGTGATTGATATAAATAGGTGCCACTGACAAAGACAAGACTCTAGAAGGCTCTATATGAGTACTGAAAGGTTGATCATAGTACTATAAACCAAGAATACCAGTTGGATAATGTCAAAAGTAAAGGAAGTGATTCGCGCCTCAAGATTTGGCGAAACGTCCTTGTGCGATTAGAATGATGTTGCAGTTGAAGGTTGGTGCCCATACGTGTAAATAGCTTTCACCAACAGAGAATTTATCTCTACATTAAAATTGAAAAAACAACAAAACCTGGGCTCTTGTCTCTCTAACAATCATCAGCATTCCGTCTTCCATATTAGCAAAACTCGCGAATTTGTGGTTTTTTTTGGTTCATGTGGACGTGGTTGATGGATTTGATTAGAATTTTTCAGTCTTTATTAATGATGAAATCATATCGTAGCCAGTGAACATCGGGATTGTTGAGGAACTGATCGACTGCGGGAAACACTAGGACTAATGGTTCCCAGAGAAAGGTCTGGTGTAGGTGCAATTTTTGACTGGGAACCTTGGCCTACCCGAGAAAGGGCTCCTTTAGTACCATCAAGTGCACATTTAGGCTGGTCACAATGAGCTACTTTTTAAGCTTTAAAGGTGTTAAAAACTGCTCTCGTATCAAAAAGATCAGTTGTAATGTTGTGATTGCGGATTATGAATGATTAATCATGATTATTCATCATTTTAAGAGTTCAACCGACGCAAGAATGGAGCAGACACATTTAAAATACACCTTGGTACAAAGTTCACATACAAACATGGTCCTTTAGAGGAACTATCTCAAGCTTGTATGTACTCTTCACAAGTCAGTGTTTTCTGTTCCTCAGCTCGACCTCATTTGGCTCCATTTATGGTTACCTAATTGAAATTCAAAAACGTTTCAAACATGGTTGTAAATCCAAGGCTCAGTTCAAAACCATTGTTCATGAATTTCTTGGCTTTCAGAATCTGTAGTCTCGACGATCTACTTTCAAAACGAGTGAGTTTATTGGTTATAATTTGCAATTAATAAAGTGAACCACTCCGACCATGCTCAATGTGTTATAACCAGGTGTAAAACTGTATCTTTGATAAGAAGCGTACGATTATTCAGAGCGCCCTTCTACTAGTTCTAATACTTTGGATCCCTTGAATTCGTCTCTGTGCAAAAAATTTCACCATGCGCCGTTCACGGTTGAGCAATTAAGCCAGGAGTAACACTTTAATTGATCAGATATCAAAACCAGCTTGTTCATTGGCCTCTAAGATTGTACAATCTATTGATTTTATACACCTTGTCCCTATTGCAAGTTGAAGCCTTGTTGAAGGTCTTGACTCTTGGAGCCTTTGACCAGCAGATCGTTCCGAAGAACAAGCTTTTATAGAGAGAGGATATAGGTTTCAATTAAACCTGCATCTTATACCGGTACATATTAGTGCCTCTAAGTCTACAATTCTTCACAAAGTACTTAAACTGCAACAGCTCCAAAATACATTCATAAAGAAGCTTTTTTTGAAAGGTATTTAAAAACTCAAATATCGTATAATATTTTTCAGCTTATAGATCTTTTTGATAAGTCATTACTATTTGATACTCAACTAGTAACACTCAATTCAAACAATAATAATGTCAATTCATGATCCAGAGAAAAACATCAATGAAACCAATTTCATTTCAAAAGATGAACATATCTTAGATTCAACAATCAATTTTGAAGAGTCTTCAAATGATTTAAAACTAAACAATTATTCTTCAAATTCCTCAGGCTCACAAAAATTATCAGAAGCGGTTGATATCACCGAAGATGATGTTAATGCAATTGTCCCAACAAAAGATTATGAAGGTGATGCAAATACTGTAAGAATGTGGGTATTGGCATTTGTCTTTGGAACTGTTATTGCTGGTGTGGATTCTTTTTTCCAAATGAGATTCCCAACTATTACAATTGGAGCTATTGTGGCACAAGTTGTTTCTTATCCAGTAGGGAGATTATGGTATTTAGTGTTACCAAATTGGTCATTACCTTTGCCAATGGGTAGAAAAATTTCTTTGAATCCTGGCCCTTTCAATCAAAAAGAGCATGCTTGCATTTATATGTTTGTTAATTATGTTGCTTCTGCTGGTTTAGTTAATAATAGTGTTGTGGAACAATTTAGATTCTTTAATATGAATATTGGTATTCGGAGAATGATTCTTTTCCAATTATCGAGTTATCTCTTTGCGTTTTGTTTAGCAGGTTTGGCAAGACCAATTTTGGTCACCCCAGCAAATGTTGTTTGGCCTGGTCTTTTATCAAGTTGTGCTCTTTTCCAAACATTCCACAATCCAACTAATGAACCTGCAGGTAAATGGAAAATTTCAAGATTCCACTTTTTCGCAATTGTCTTTGTTTGTTCTTTTGTCTGGTTTTGGTTCCCTGATTTAATTTTGCCATTTTTATCAACAATTGGTGCTTGGATATCTTGGATTAGACCTGAGAATGCAACATTATCACAAGTATTTGGTGTTAATACTGGATTAGGGTTATTTCCTTTAACATTTGATTGGACTCAAATCACATCTTTAAGTAACCCATTAAGTACCCCTTTTTGGTCCATTGGTTGTATTTTTGTTTCATTTGTATTTTGGATTTGGATCGTTATGCCTGCACTATATTACCAAAATAAATGGCAAGTTGCTCATTTCCCAATAATGACTTCATCAATTTATAACGTCAAGGGGAAATCTTATGACACTTCAGCAGTTGTTGATAAACAATACAGACTTGATTATGATAAATTCAAACAATATTCACCAGTTATGTTACCAATAGCATTTTTAATGAATGTTGCATTGGGGTTAGCTGCTTTTTCTTCAATGATGATTGCATTCTTTTTTAGATTCAAGTCAGATGTCATTGGACCTCTAAGAAATAAAACAACAGATGTTCATAATGACGCTTTAGCAAAATATGAATCATTCCCTCGTTGGTTTTATTTGATTTGGGGTGTTATTGGATTAGCTTTTGGATTCGCATTCTTTGAAGGTTTTAATCACGAAACTCAACTAAGAGCTGGTGGTTACATTGTTTCTATGGTCATTTCAGCTTGCGTTTTCTTACCTTTGGCATTAATTGAATCAAGATCAAATTTTGAAGTTTCATTAGCTGCATTTTTTGAAATTATCGCCGCATTCTGGTTTAGTGGTCAGCCTATAGGATTGATGTATTTCTATATGATGGGTTTTGGTACAATGCAACACGCTATGCATGCTTCTCAGGGTGCAAAAGTTGGTCATTATATGAAAGTTCCACCAAAAACTGCAATGACATTATTATTGGTTGGTTCTATTTGGGCTGCTTGTGTTTCACCATCGGTAACTGGTTATATATTGAACCACTTCAAAGATGTTTGTACTGCAGAAGCTAAAAACCATATGGTTTGCAGAAAATCTAAAACTCAATTCAACACATTAGTTGTTTGGGGGTTGTTTGGTAAACATATCTTTGCAAGTGGAGGTAGATATGTCTGGGTGTTATGGTTCTTCTTATTGGGTGCTCTTGTTGCTGCATTCTTGTCTCTTTTACAATGGAAATTCCCAAAACATATAATCTTGAAGAAAATCAATCCAACTTTGTTCTTTGGAGGTGCTGCAAATATCCCTAGTGTTACAGGATTCAATTATTCGACATGGTTCGTAGTTGGGTTTATTTTAAACTTCATAATCCATAGAAGAAAGCATGTTTGGTGGAAGAAATATAACTTGGTTCTAGCTGTTGGATTGGATTGTGGTGTTGCAATTGCAGCTTTGTTGATTTATTTCTGTGTTGTTTATACTGGTGGTTCCTCCAATTACAATTGGTGGGGCACTGAAGTGTCCAAGTCTGGATGTGACAGTAAAGGATGTCCACATTTAACGTCCAAGGTAATTCCCCCAACTGGTTGGTGATTGTTTTTTTAATTTATGTTTTCTTTATCTTTATAAAAATTGTAGAACTTTTTTTTTGTTTCTGCCAAACATAACGGGTTACTAGTTTTTTCGCGAAATTGAAAAAACGGTGGCAGAGGCGCTTAAGTTTCTTCAATTGAATCAACACAATCGAAACGCTGATTCAGATTGGAGCTGTGGTTGGTGTTATGGTTGTTGCTTGGTTATACTAATATGGCTTTCAAAAGACGTTAGCTGTGGAAAAATGGATCTTTTTAGGCATCAGAGGTTAGAGGCTAAAGTGTTCCAGGAGAAAATGCCTTTCACGATGAGGTTAATGGACCAAGGATAAACAGAACGGTGATAGAAAGATGATGAAATGGTGCTAAAATGGTGAAACTATTGTATTGGAAGATTAGGCTAAGAGAGTTTTGAAAAAATTCCTTCCCAATGGTGTATTGCTTAAATTTTCAAGAATGCCACTTTGGAAGTCCAGATCTAAGCTCTATTCGTGGTAATTATGGCTCGAGTCCTTGAAATCCATATATAATACAACCATACCACCTTTTCAGACCATAATTCTTTTCAAAGAGCTGAACATCAATTTACATACCATGACTTTAAAGGAAAAGGATCAAATTGATGTGGTTGCAGATGTTGCAAGTGATACAACTTCTAACCAAGACCTTTACAAAGCCGAATATCACTATGAAGTTACAAACAAATGGAAGTTTTTTTTCTTGAATGAGCCTGGCCACCCCTTAAATGCGGACTTATTTGATGGTGAAGATTATGATATTGATACTATTCTTACTTATGAAGATGATCAAAGAACAGATAAGAAAACAGCACCAGTATGGAAAAAGATTATTGGATTTTTTTGGGATCCAATCTTTCTGCCACCTAGTGAAAGAAAATATATGCTCAAAATAGATTTCTTCATCTATATTTATGCAATTTTGGCATGTTTTATCAAATACTTGGATCAAACAAATATCAATAATGCATTTGTCTCTGGTATGAAGGAAGATTTGAACATGTATGGCTCAAATGATTATAATTTATTGACCACCTATTTCAACATTGGCTACTTATCATTTTCAGTACCAATGTCTATCCTTATGAAATATATTAGACCAAGTATTCTTTTACCATCTTGTGAAATTTTATGGACATTTCTAGTCATGATTATGGCTGTTGCTAAGAATAAAGAAACAATTTATGGATTGAGATTATTACAAGGTGTCATCGAAGCAAGTTCATTTCCTGGGTTGACAATGCTTATTGGGGAATACTATTCAAAAGAAAGTTTAGGTAAACGTATGTTTATGTTGGATGCAACTGGTTCTGTGGCCAGAATGTTTGCAGGTTATATTCAAGCTGGTGTCTATACAACAATGAATGGAAGATATGGGCTACCAGGTTGGAAATGGGTATTTCTTGTCGATGGATTCATTTCGATTCCAGTAGCAATACTTGGATTTTTATTTTTACCAGATTTCCCAAGAAATTCAAAAGCTTTCTGGCTAAAGAAGAAGGAAAGACAGTTTGCATTAGCAAGAGCCAAGCTAAATAAAAAAGCACAACCTAAACCAATGACAATCAAATCCATCATCAGAACATTCACTAGTTGGAAGTTATGGTTATTTGTTACAACATATGCAACTGGTGTTATCGGATTGAATAGCACGAGTTATTTTGCTTTGTATTTGAAATGGTTGAAAAAATACTCAGTTCAGCAGATTAATCTTATTCCAACTGCCGGTTCTGCATGGCAATTTCTTTCTATGCTTATTTTCAGTGCTGGAAGTGATTACACAGGAAATCGTGTTGGCTGGATATGTTTGAACGAATTCATTGGATTTTTGAGTTGTTTGTTACTATCAATTTGGAATATTCCGTTTGGTGCATTGATTTTCGCTTTTATCTTGGGGTTCGGTACTCTATCAGCACAAACTATTTTGATGGGGTGGTTTGCCGATGTTTTTTATGATGAGCCAGATCTGAAAGCAATTAATATTGGACTTGGAAATACTATCGTTTATTCATTTAATGCTTTTCTACCATTGGGTATCTATAAAAGTAATGAGGGACCTCGTTATAATCTGGGTTATAAAATTTCCATGATGTTTTTCATCATTGGTTTCATAATGGCTTGGGTTTTCTGGTTTGTTACCAATTGGTACAACAGAAAGAGAGATATCGAGGAGGCAAAAGAAAATCCAAAGGATTTAAATGCAGATGCTTGATAGATAGTAATATATGCCTTTATATTTGCAACCAGTTGTAGATGATCTCGGATATATGCGTCCCAGTGTTCCTAACCCTAGAACTGAAAAAAAAACTAGTACAGAACCTCGTGAGGAACCTTTGATTTCCATAATTTAACACTCAAAGGGTCACCGAAATGTCGAATATCGCACTTGTAAGGCAGGTGTTCAATAACCTTTCATGGTCCGACAAACTACTTCCCATGAATATAATCATAGCTATCATAATAGGGCTAGTTATTTCAAAGTATAGTGAAAAAGCTAGAAATGCATTTCAAGGTGAAAAAGTGTTGAATGTTCCTATACCATTAGCTATAGGCATGGTAATCATGATGGTTCCACCTTTATGCAAAGTTCAATGGGAAAATATGATTGTATTAGTCAAGAAGAAAAACTTTAGGGAACAAATGTTCATCTCATTAATAATTGGTTGGGTTTTATGTCCATTTTTAATGTTTGGTTTGGCGTGGTTAACTTTATTCGATCAAGATGAATACAGAATTGGTGTTATCTTGATTGGATGTGCTAGATGTATTGCTATGGTTTTAGTTTGGAATGAAGTTGCTGGTGGTGACACTGATTTATGTGCAGTGTTGGTGATTATCAACAGCGTTTTACAAATCATATTATATGCACCTTATAAGATCTTGTTTTGTGACATTATGGGTGGAAGTGGCTTATACCAAGGTGTAACGATATCTACAACTTATCAAACTGTTGCACAAACAGTAGGGTTCTTTTTGGGGATTCCAATGGCTGGTGGATTTCTGATAAGATCAATAGGGATGTTGACTATTGGCGTGGATAAATTTGAAAAGAAAATTATGCCATTTATTGGTCCTTTTGGTATGATTGGGTTATTGTATACAATCATCGTTATTTTCATTGAAAAGGGAGACGACTTTTTACAAGAGATCGGAACAGCTTTCAGATGTTTTGTTCCACTTATATCATATTTTATCATTTCATGGAGTGTTGCCTTTTTTGGTTTGAGATTTTGGGATTCTAGAAGGCAACTAAAACTCGGAAATTATGATAGATTAACAACTTGTGGATGTGAAAAGAATATGGAGCAGTATGAATCAAGAAAGAGGTCCAAAGGGTGGTGCTCTGCCTCATATTCTCAAGTCATAACCCAATCTCTAGTTGCGTCTTCAAATAACTTTGAATTGAGCTTGACCGTCGCGATTGCTCTTTATGGAACAGATAGTCGACAGGCCATAGCTGCTACTTTTGGACCATTAGTTGAGATCCCAGTGCTATTGATTTTATGCTTTGTGTCTAGATTTTTCCAAGAGAAGCTCCTTTGGAAGGATGTTTAATTTATGTTAGTTAATTTGTTTGGTACTGTATTCCCCGAAAATAGACGCAAGTCATGTTAAATTTTTCAGATCTCGAGAAATGCCATCAACGAAAAACACAGTATTTTGGGTCGAAAGCTCAGATGATATGACTCTCGAGGAAGTCAGTGGAGACTCTTGAGAGGAGCGTGAGTACTTATCACTGGCCACACTCGGCTAAATCTGGTTATCGGACTCGTTGACATGATTTGCGTATCCCTTGATAAAGAAGTATAAAGTGCCTCGAAAATCATCATCAACCATCTCTCTTTTGTTCTTCAAGTAAAACCAATCAAGATGTCTGAAAAAAAGTTGAAGGAAACACATTCCCACGACCAAACTCATGGTGAAATATTGTCAACACATACCCCAGAAAATGAAAATCTGGAGAACTATGATGAGGCCATGAGAGTAGCGTTGAATCTCGAGGGGAAAGCAGTTGTGCTGGATGAAGAAAGGGATAAGAGGTTATTGAGAAAGATTGACTTGTATCTTCTTCCATTAGTTTGTTTTTTATATGCGTGCCAATTTATGGATAAAACTACAAACTCTTATGCAGCAGTTATGGGGTTGAAAACCGATTTGAATATGAAAGGTGATATGTATTCTTGGACAGGTACTGCATTTTATCTTGGATATTTGGTATTTGAATTTCCGGCAAATGCTTTATTGCAAAGATTCCCCTTAGCCAAAACCACGGGTGTATTCATATTTATTTGGGGTGTCTTGCTATGTCTTCACGCTGTTCCAAAATATGGTGGATTTATTGCACTTAGAACTCTGTTGGGTGTATTTGAGTCTTCTATTTCTCCAGCTATGGTGATCTTGACTGGTCAGTGGTATAAGAAAGAGGAGCATTTCATGAGAACAACACTTTGGTTTTCATCAAATGGGTTCGGTATCATACTTGGTGGTTTGATTGCTTATGGTTGTGCTGTTCATGAGGAATCATATTCTTTTGAAGCTTGGAAAGTTTTATTCATTGTCACTGGGTTATTAACCATTGTTATTTCAATTGTTTTTGTCATACATATCCCTGATACTCCCTCCAAAGCTTGGTTTTTAACCGAGGAGGAGAGGTTATTAGTGGTTGAAAGAATAAGAGGGAATAAACAAGGGTTTGGGAATAAAGATTTCAAAAAATATCAATTTAAAGAATCATTATTTGATATTCTAACATGGCTTTTCTTCCTTTATGCTATTGCTTCAAACACCCCTAACGGTGGACTCACTAATTTTGGAAGCATTTTGTTATTAGAAGATTTCAATTATACTCAAAAGCAAACGTTACTAATGAATTGTATCTGTGGTGCTGTGGAAATTGTTGGTTGTATAGGGTTTGCATATTGCATCAGATGGATTCCTCAAAGATTGATAATTTCGTTTGCTGCCATGGCACTTGCGTTTGCTGCCTCCTGTATGTCGGCATTTGCAAATGAAAGTAAAAATGCAAGACTAGCTGGTTATTTTCTTCAATATGTTATACCAGTGCCAACAATTTGTTCATTATCATGCTTCCAATCAAACACAGCAGGTCATACAAAGAAGATCACAACAACTGCTATCTTTTTCATTGGTTATTGTATTGGGAATATCATTGGTCCTCAAACTTTCACGGAAGCACCCTACACTGGTGGTAAAATTGCAATTGTTGTTTGTGAGGCTGCTTCATTGGTTTTGATTTTGGCGATATACTTCACCTATTGGTTCATGAACAAGAAGAAAGACCAGGATATGAAGAAAATGGACTTGACCGAATTCAACCACATTCACAACTCAGAATTTGCAGACTTGACTGATAAAGAGAATCCAACATTTAGATACTGTTTATGAAGAAAATTTTGAGCAGCTTATAGGTTTGTAGGATTCGCGAAAATTCACTTAGCGATTAGCTAAAATATTAGTAATCGTTAAATCAATATACGCGCTTCAAAAATATTTTGTCAACATCCAAAATGTTTACTTGAGCATACAGAAAGCTGATGTTGGCTGTTTGTGATGGAGAGGAGTGGAAAACTTGGTGAGCTTGGGCTACAAAGTGTTTGGTGAAGTGATGGATTTCAGCGTATGAGGGTTGTTGTTGATGGTTGAGAGCTGAAGCTCCCCCTTTGTTTTAAAATCATATCTGAGAAACAATTATTAAATACAATTCCTATTGCTTCCACAAATTGGGCTCATTGCATGCAGGTTAAAACTATGAAATGAAATTTGCTGCGATAATAATGTCCAATGGGACCTTTGCATTCTTTTATTTCCATCCCTCAAAATGAGTTTAAAGTACCAACATGCAATAATTCAAGACCTAATTTAATAAACGGTACAGAAATTCTTTACAGGAAGATCATGGAATGCTCAACTTTTCAAACACATTTGTGTATAAATACAAAGCCATGCCTCTCATCAAGAAATAAGTTGCAAAAAGTGCTTGTTTATCGTTTTGGATTGAATATATTTTGCTGGTAACACAAAAGACATAGCAATCCAATCTCAACAGATTCTACTGTCTAGCTTTCTCAGCAGCCCCTTCTCATAGGAAATAGCTTCTTTGGGATAATCTGTTCTTTATTTGTTGTCATTAGAGCTTTGCTTTTTTTATCGGCCGAGAGACCTCTCGTACGAGAAAGTTTTTTTGAATAAATAGTTGGGAATATTTCATCAAACCTCTATATTCTTCACTATCAACTAAATCAAGCAAAAATGAAAGAACATCTTGAAGAAAAACCTTCAAAGTACACCCCTGAGTTACAACAAAGGTTGTTCACTCCTGTCTTGAACAAAAAAGTTCCACCTATTCCATCAAAGGAAGAAAAAACACCATTTCCTAAACCAAATTTACTTTCTGCTGTTTTATTTTGGTGGTTAACACCATTATACAAAATTGGTTATAAGAGAACTTTAGTCTCGAATGATCTTTGGTACTTAAGAGATGATATTGGAGTTGAAAAGACATATGCTATTTTCAATTCACATTTGGACAGTGGTAAATCAATTATGATATCATTATTTTTAACTTTCAAGTATGAATATTCGTTTGCATTATTTGCCAAGGTACTTGCTGATTTGATCCAGGTTTTACTCCCTTTGTTAACAAAAGCACTTGTCAATTTTGTTGAACAAAGAATATTGAATGGTGGTAAAGTTAATAAAGGTATTGGTTATGCAATTGGTTGTGCTGTATTGGTTTGTATTGATGGGATTTTGGTTAATCACTCTTTGTATCATTCAATGCTTGTTGGTTCTAAAGTTAAAGCTATTTTGACAAAGAGTTTATTAGAAAAATCTACCAAAACTAGTGAAGAATCTAGAAAGGAATTTACAACAAGTAAAGTGACTTCATTAATGGGGACTGATTTAACAAGATTAGAATTTGCAATTGGATTTTTACCTATGGGTTTTGCTATTCCACTACCTGTGATTATTGCTATTGCGTTGGTCATTATCAACATTGGAGTCTCATCATTAGCTGGTATTGGTGTTTTCTTTGTTGCCATTTTCATTCTAGCATTTCTTGGTAAACAAATGTTCAAACTAAGAGGTGTTGCAAATGTCTTTACAGATGAACGGGTTGGGTTAGTGCGTGAATTGATTCAGTCTTTAAAATTTATTAAATTTTATGCTTGGGAAGATGCTTATGAAGAGAAATATCAAAATATAAGAACAAAGGAGAGTTCTGTTGTGTTTAGTATGCAACGTTATAGAAACATTATGATGGCGTTTGTTTTAACTCTACCTTCTGTGATATCCATGGTTTCATTCTTGGTTTTACATTCTGTTGATAATTCAAGAAGTGTTGCAGATATTTTTTCTTCTCTTACTTTATTTGGTGTTTTAAGTCAAGAAATTATGATGTTGCCTATAATCATTGGTGTGGTTACCGATGGGAAAGTTGCATTCAAGAGAATTGGTGAATATTTAGCAGTCAATGAAGAAAACATTGAAATCACACCAGACGTTTTAGATGATGCTAATTCAATTGAAGCTGAAGATCTCTCACTTCACAATGTACAGAATGCAACTTTTGATATAAAGTCTGGTGAATTTGTTGTTGTTGTGGGCATTGTTGGATCTGGTAAGTCTTCATTATTGAAAGCCCTAAATGGGAAGTTTACAAGTGGGAAATTGAGGTATTCTGGGGAGTCAATATTTTGTGATGAACCTTGGATTCAAAGTACAACCATTCGTGAGAATATTATATTTGGTGAAAATTTTGATCAAGTTCGTTATAAAAAGGTCTTGAAGGCATGTTCTCTGGAGAGTGATCTGAAAAATTTACCATTTTCTGATTTAACACAAGTTGGTGATCGTGGTGTTACACTTTCAGGGGGTCAAAAGGCTAGAATTAATCTTGCTCGAGCTCTTTACAAAGATGTCGATATTTATCTATTGGATGATGTGCTAAGTGCAGTTGATGCAAAAGTTGGAGATGCTATTGTCAATGATTGTTTGTTTGGGATATTGAAAGAAAAGACAAGAGTATTAGCCACTCATCATTTATCATTAGTGCATCAAGCTGATAGAATTATTTTCCTTGGGGAAACATTACAAATTGGTGCTCTAAAAGATTTTGCAAACAATAAGGAGTTTCAAACATTAATGTCATTTGGAAATTCTAAAAAATTGGAGGAAAAGAAAGAGGTTTTTGAAGTGCAAGAAAGACAAACTGATAAAGAGTTGATTAATGATGAAGAACAAGCTGTTAATTCTATCAAATATGTTGTTTATAAACAATATTTAAAAGCTGGAAATTCTAGGTATTATTTAGCAGTCCCATTGAATTTATTGTTGTTAACATTAAGCGTCTTTACATTACTCTTTGCTAATGTTTGGTTATCATATTGGATTGAACAAAAATTCCATCAACCATCAGGTTTTTATATTGGGTTTTATTTAATGTTTACAATTCTTTGTGTTTTATTTACAGGTTGTCAATTTGTTATGGTTGCTTATTTATCAATTACAGCTGCTAAAAGATTAAACATTGGTGCTTTTACAAGAGTTTTACATGCACCTATGAGTTTGATTGATAGTACACCAGTTGGTAGAATCTTGAACAGGTTTACAAAAGATACTGAAACTTTAGATAATCAAATTGGTGAACAGTTGAGATTATTTTTATACATTTCTGCTCTTTTGATTGGATATATGGTTTTATGTGTTGTTTATATGCCATGGTTTGCCATTGCTATCCCATTTGTTGTGGTTATTTGTATTGGGTTGGTTAATTATTACCAAGCATCTGCAAGAGAAATTAAAAGAATTGAGGCTGTTAAAAGGTCATTTGTTTATAATAATTTCAATGAAACTCTTGGTGGGTTGAATACAATTAAATCATTTGGTAAGGTCAAGGATTTCTTAAGGAAGAATGATGTTTTTTTGAATGAAATGAATGAAGCTGGGTTTTTAGTGATTGCAAATCAAAGATTTATATCAATAATGTTGACATTAGTTGCTTGTTTTCTTTGTTTGATTATTTTATTATTAATTGTTAACCAAAGTTTCCATATAAGTGCTGAAGGTGCAGGATTGGTTACAAATTATATTCTTCAATTGGTGTTATTATTGTCTTTGTTATTACGGTCTTTTACGGATCTTGAGAATGAAATGAATTCAGTGGAAAGAGTTTGTCATTATGCAAATGAGATTGAACAGGAGGCTAGATACAAGACAGAGGACTTTCAATTCCAAAATGGGGACTTGAAATTTCAAAATGTTTGTTTTAGATATAGGGAGAATTTACCACTAGTTTTGCAAAATATAAATTTGGATATTCATTCTGGAGAAAAAATTGGTATTGTCGGGAGAACTGGTGGTGGGAAAAGTACTATTGGGAATGCTTTATTTAGAATTGGAGAATATTCAGGTTTGATTGAGATTAATGGTGTTGATATTTCCAAGATTGGGTTATTTAATTTAAGATCACAATTAACCATTATCCCACAAGATCCTGTTTTGTTTAAAGGTGATATTAAAAGTAATATTGATCCATTCAATCAATTTGGTGAAGATGAAATTAATCAAGCATTAGGGAAAACTGGATTGAAACTATCATCAAATGAAAAAGTTGAAGAAGGTGGTTTAAATTTTTCACTTGGTGAACGTCAATTGCTTGCATTAGCTAGAGCCTTGGTTAGAAATTCCAAAGTTTTATATCTTGATGAGGCAACTTCAAGTATTGATTTTGAAACTGATTCAAAAGTGCAAAAAATTATAAATGAGGAATTTACAGATTGTACAGTTTTATGTGTTGCTCATAGACTTCATACAATTTTAAAATATGATCGTATTATAGTTTTAGATGGTGGTGAAATTGTGGAAATTGGTGAACCTAAATTCTTATATCAACAAAATGGTTTATTTAAAGAAATGTGTGAAAAGTCATCTATAGATTTATTTATTTAAATAATGAACATCGCCATCTAATTCTTGTAATCTAGCAGCAGCTTGTTCACTTGTTAAATCTCTTTGAGCTTCACCAAGCATTTCAAACCCAACACAAAATTTCTTTACAGTGGCTGATCTTAATAAAGGTGGATAAAAATGGATATGAAACCAAGAAATTTCATTTATTTCATCTGAAGAGATGAATGGAGCCTGGTGTAACCCCATTGAATAAGGGAAACTTGTATTGAATAAATTATCATATTTTGTTGTTAATGATTTCAAAATCGTAGCAAGATCTGACTTTTGTTTTTCATTAAATTCTTCAATTGATTTTAAATGAGACTTTGAAATTAACAATGTTTCAAATGGCCATAGTGCCCAATATGGAACCACAACAATAAATGAATCATTTTCCAATACAATTCTTTTTTGTTCTTGTTGTTCTAATTTAATATAATCTTCAAATAAATGAGTTTGGTTCTTGTTATAATATTTCAATAAATTTCTCAATAAATGATCAACTTCTGATGGGACTGTATCTAAACACCAAGCTTGACCATGAGGATGAGGATTTGAACACCCCATTGCCGAACCTTTATTTTCAAAAATTTGAATATAACGATATGGAGCTTCATTTTGTAAAGCTTGTTTTTTACAAGATTTATATAAATCTTGCCAAGTTTGCACAATTTGAACAATTTCATCATGGTTCATTAATGGTAGAGTTAGATTATGTTTTGGACTAAAACAAATAACAAAACATTTCCCCTTGACACCTTGAGTAATTAATAACCGATCTTTTATTGATTCACCAGATTGGGAATAATCTGGTTGATCTAATTTAACAGCAGAATAATCATTTGGAAACACAAAAGTTGAATCATATTGAGGATTCATTGGACCAGTTGCTCTTTTATTACCAGGACATAAATAACAATTGGCATCATATTCAGGTAATGTAGGTTTTTGAACATCCTCCACAGCACCTTGCCATGGTCTTTTAGCACGATGAGGAGAGCATAGGACCCAGGAATCGTTTAAAGGGTTATACCGACGATGAGAATCGTTTGTGAAGTCAAAGGACATGATTGATGGGTGTTATTCATGATGAGGATTTCACAATTGAATGGATTATTTTAAACATTTATACCTGGAAACCACATTGTCTTCGAAAAAAGGTACCAATTACGTCCAAGTCCGAGGAAAAAATAATGGTCAGTTGTTCCGTGGGACTAGGGGGACTAGACTGTGGACTGATGGTCTGGTGAAGTTTACAATAAAGTCAATGAAATCCTGTTTTTACAACTTTTTGTTATTTCTATGAAATAAGAGGCTTCAAAATGACTATGAAGGAGCATGTTTTAATCACTGGTGGTGCTGGGTTTCTTGGATCTCATTTTGTCAACCATGTTGTTCCAAAGTATCCCCAGATGGATTTCCTAGTTATTGATAAATTAAACTATGCAAGTGGATTTAATACTCATTTAATTAAAGTGGGTGGTTATTCAAATTATGAATTTATTGAATTTGATTTATCCAAGGATTTTGATAAGTTGTTGGAGATTGTGGAATCCCACCATATAACACAAGTTATCAATTTTGCTGCAGAATCATGTGTTGATAAATCTTTTAAAGATCCAATTTTCTTCACAATGAATAATATACTGAGTACACAATATTTATTAGAATGTTGTCGACTTGTTGAATGGGAGATTAAATTTCTTCACATCTCAACAGATGAAGTTTATGGCGAACAAGAGAATACTGTTGACGAAAAGGGGATACTAAATCCAACAAATCCATATGCTGCTACAAAAGCTTCATGTGATTTAATCATTCAATCATATATTTATTCATATAAATTACCAATAAGTATAATTAGATCTAATAATGTTTATGGTTTGGGACAATATCCTGAAAAGATTATCCCCATGGTTATTGATGTGTTGAACAAGAGATTAAAAGGAGGTGATGATAAGATCCCAATTCATGGAGATGGACATTATAAAAGAACATATTTATATATTAGTGATTTCCTAAAAGGTGTTGAATTAATATGGGGGAAGCAAATGGGAGGTGAATGCTTTGGACAAGTTTATAATATTTGTGGAGATGATGATTATGAAATTAGTAATTTAGAATTGATTAAGTTAATTTGTGGGGGTTTTGATATGGATTATAGAGAATGTATTGAATTTGTTGATGATAGAAATTATAATGATTCAAGATATTTATTAAATTGTGACAAGATTAAACAGTTAGGATGGGAACCCAAGATTGGATTGAAATTAGGGTTATCCAAGATTATTCAAAGTATTTAGTTGAAAATATATTTTGTTTTGGAACCATAAGTTTCATCTTTATTTAGCACAACTTGATTTGAATAAATTGGTGAGTTAATTGCATCAATAAATCTACCAGGTTCCACTGCAAAACCTGATCTTGAATGGAAATTTTGGATGTTTACACCATCACCAGTGTAGAATTGGAAAGAAGGTTCAGTTGATTGAATTGTTAATGAATGTGAGGGAGTTGAAGCTTTGAAAATTTCAATCAATTGATTTGATCTTGTATCAATTGATGATGATTCATTGAGGATAAAACAATCATCAAATTTGCGATCTTCAAGTTTGAAGTTTTGGGATGGGATTTCCAAGATTTCACCAGTTGGTAGGCCATTGGAAGTTTCTAAGTATTTTTTAGTTGATAAATTGATATCAATGTCATTACCCAATTTAAAATAGGAATGATTTGTTAAATTGATTGGAGTTGGACCATTAGAATTAGCTTGATATTCAATTTCCAATGATTTATAACCAACAATAAACTTAACTATAGTTTCCACTTGATTTGGGAATCCATTTGATTGCTCTTGGTCAATTAATTTGAATTGCAAGATTGTAGAATCACCTGAAATTTGAGCAATTGGACCTAGCCAATGTTGTTTATCAAATCCATTAGCACCACCATGTAGAGTATTTGAATTTTCATTGACATCAGTTTTAAAGACTTTACCATTTAATTTAAATTCACCATTTGATATTCTATTTGCATAACGACCAATAGTTGCACCAAAATAAGGATTTCCATTTGATTTATAACTTTGGAAATCATTGAACCCAAGAACTAGTGACTCCTCACCAATTTTCAAATCTTGAACAGTTGCACCATAATTCATTATTGAGATTTTAAAATCTTTGATTTCGACATGATGTAATCTAGTTTCACCAAATTGTTCCCATTTATAACCTTCAATATTGAAACCAAATGGATTTTCAATAGTCCATTTCCATAAATCAGCACAAGCATCTTGGATTGATAATTTTGCAAACCATTTCAATTCATTATTTGCTCTTTTAGGATCAGCAGTCAAGTTCAAGACATCACCATCTCTTCTACCAACAACTTCATATGGTAGATTTTTACCAACCGCTTTACAAAAAGCATTATAAACATCAAAAACAGTGGAACCTTTACCAGTACCTAAATTCCATTCTCTAAATAACCCAGATTGATTCTGTTCAAGGTAGTTTAGAGCAGAGATATGACCTTTTGCCAAGTCAACAACATGGATATAATCTCTAATTGGAGTTCCATCATGAGAATCATAGTCATTACCAAAGATTGATAATTTTTCACGTCTACCAATTGCAACTTGAGCTAGATATGGTAATAAATTGTTTGGTATTCCTAGGGGATCCTCACCAATTAAACCGGAAGGATGAGCACCAATTGGATTGAAATATCTTAGGATAGCGGCTTTCCAAGTTGGATCACTCTTGTATAAATCATGAATGATTTGTTCAATGGTGTATTTAGTTTGACCATATGGGTTTGTTGGATCATTTGGACAAGATTCAGGGATTGGAATCATGTTTTCAAATCTAGTGGCGTCACCATAAACAGTAGCGGATGAACTAAAGACAATTGATTTAACATTGAATTGATTCATGATTTTCAATAAATTGATTGTACCATTGATATTGTTGTCATAATAAGTTAGAGGTATCTTTGTTGATTCACCAACGGCTTTCAAAGCAGCGAAATGGATGACACTCTTGATATCATTAGATTGGAATAGTTGGGATAGCTTGTCATGGTCTCTTAGATCGATGTTGTAAAAGGGGATACTTCTTCCAACGATGAATTCTATTCTGGCAATGGCGTCGTATGAAGAATTGGATAAGTTGTCTAGGATGATGACGCTGTAGTTGTTTTGGATGAGCTCGATGACGGTGTGTGAGCCAATGTAGCCGGCGCCTCCAGTGACGAGGATGGACATGGTATAGTTAATAGATGATGGTATAACATAGTATAGTCAATAGTATGGAACACCCATGTTATAAATGATAATCCGTGGCTTCAACAGGTGATTGTTGTAGTCTCTATTGAATTAGTAGTAGTCTCCACTAGTCCCTGGCTATTGTCCCCACCCGGAATTACTCGTGGGGTATGCAAGGGCAGGTGCCTTACAGTTGGCGATGGACTATGGAGTAATAGACTATGGACTAGAATAAAGTAATAATAGAGTATAGTAATAAAGTAGAGTCAGTAGACTAATGTAACTTCTGTTAATACCACCACATCACACCATTGTCAATGGCCTACTTATACTTTGGAATATCCATTAGTTCTTCCATTAACCATCATCTATAAACTATATCCACAATGTCCACTATCCCAACCTTCAAAGACCTCTCCTTCTACTCATCAGAGGACCCAAAGACAAAAACCAGATATGACAACCTCATCTCTCAATTCAATTCCAACTATGCAACTACACCCCAATTCATTGCCCGTTCTCCAGGTCGTGTCAACTTGATTGGTGATCATATCGACTATTGTTACTTCTCTGTACTGCCAATGGCTTTAGATGCTGATGTTATAGTTGCGGTATCTACAAATAATACCAATACAATCACTCTATCAAATACAAACAAACAATTCCAACAAGAAACTTTTCAATTACCTTCTGATGGTTCAGTTATTGAGATTGATCAATCAAACTTCTCTTGGGTCAATTACTTCAAATGTGGGTTAATAGTGGCCCATAAATTCATCTTGGAAAACCATCCATCTTTACTCAAATCCAATCTCAAAGGTTTAAACCTTTTATTTGATGGTAATGTCCCAACTGGTGGTGGCTTATCATCTTCTGCCGCTTTTTGTGTTGCTTCAACTTTAGCCGTTCTAAAAGCAAATGGTGTTGATTCAATTTCAAAACATGACCTAACCAAAATAACCGTGGTTTCTGAACATTATGTTGGTGTAAACACTGGTGGTATGGATCAATGTGCCTCAATCTATGGTGAACAAAATAAAGCCTTATTAATCCAATTCAAACCGGAATTAATTGGAATCCCTTTCCAATTACCAATCTTGAAACCCTATGATATGGTTTTCCTCATTACAAATAGTTTGGTTTCCGCAAATAAACATGAAACTGCTCCAATTAACTATAATCTAAGAGCTGTGGAAGCCGCTGTTAGTGCTGAATTCTTGGCTAAAAAATTCAATTTATCACTAGTTCAAGATTCAAATTTATCAACTGGTTCTCTAAGAGGGTTTATGGATGATTATTTTGAAAAAATTGAAAACAAACCTCATTGGGATGGTCAAGATATTTACTTGGGTATTGAAAGATTATCAAAATTAATGAAATTAATTGAAATTGAATTCAATAATGATGAAAAATTAGGATTCACCACTGAAATGGCTGCAAACTCGTTGAATTTATCAATTGATCAATTCCATTCAAAATTTTTGAATAAATTCCCAGTGGAATATTCAAAATTAAAACTTTATCAAAGAACAAAACATATCTTTGGTGATGCTCTTAGAGTTTTACAAGTTTTAAAATTATTTAAAGAATCAAATGATACTATTCAAAATCATCAAGATTCAATTGAATTTTGTAAATCATTTGGGAACTTGTTAAATCAATCTCAATTATCAAATAAAAATCTGATTGAAAATTCAAAACCAAAATGTGATGAATTATGCCAAATTGCCTTGGAAAATGGTTCTTATGGTTCAAGAGTTACAGGTGCTGGATTTGGTGGTTCTTGTGTCCACTTAACAACTTTTGATAAGTTACCAAAGTTGATTAAAGCTATTGAAATTGAGTATTATCAAAAAAATTTCCCAAATTTATCAAAAGATGAATTGAAACAAGTTATCTTGGTTTCAAAACCCGCAACTGGTAGTTGTATTGTGGAGTTGTAAATAAAGTAAACCAATTGAGTGACAATTAGTCTATAGACCAATGAAATGATTATTTTCCTGATTATAATATAATTGTGGAACTAGATTCTTTTGTAGTTGACATTCATTAAATCATACTACATAGTGTGCTTTCTGGGTCAAAAAACAAAGGCCCAGGAAGGAAGTGTACTTTGTGGGTCGGCCCAGGAAGCACAATTAATTGAAATATTAATTATTTGGCGCTCAATTACCAGTGTATAGTCGTATATAGAGATTAGAAGCTCACTCTAGACGATATTGAGCCTTATAATGCTCGGGTTTTGTCAAGAGTACGTTGTTAAATTGACCTACCACTGGTAGGTCAAATTCCACTACTTGAAAAATCAATCTTGACGAACTTAAAAGACCCTCAAATCACCAATTGGTGTTACAATTGAGCCTCAAGACATACAGATGTCAATCCAAGGACCCTATCCTCTTAAATTGTTGGCATTTTTGTACAATTACCAGCCAGTTCCTTTGTGGTTCAGTGATCCTGATTCCTTTGTAGCCCCAGGATGTACAATAATTCGCGGCTCAAAATTTACTTTCTCAATTGAACACAATCATTAAAAGCATTAGCCAGATAAAACGCTATTAATTTTACAATATTTATATTATTTTCAGAAAATTAACATGTAGCTAGGATAACAGCTTCTAGGATAGAGACATCTTAGTGATCTAGCTCGTCCCTTTGTAAATAGTGAGTAGTATCTCCGTCTACATTTAGTTGAAATCCATCTACGGGTTAAATTAGTTGACAAAGAAGTCAGTCAGAGGTGAAATAAACTTTCAAAACCACCAGATTATAGCTCTTAATTGACTAGCCATTGAAATGAACTTGGTTGATGGCCTTTTGTCGAGCTACAAGGAAAGTGTACTTTTTGGGTCAACCATATTTTGGTGACCCACGAAGGAAGTGTACTTTCTGGGTCGGCTATTCCCTGTTCCCTTGAATATTCTCTCGAGAACGCCTGTTCTTGAACATGTTTTATCTAGCCAATGCTTCTAATGATTGTGTTCAATTGAGAAAGCTTTTAAATTTTGAGCCGCGAATTATTGTACATCCTGGGGCTACAAAGGAACTGGCTGGTAATAGTACAAGAATGTCGATAATTAAAGAGGATAGGGTCCTTGGATTGACATCTGTATGTCTTGAGTGCTCAATGGTAACACCAATTCGTCATTTGAACTCTCAAGAATCAAAAACAACCACTAGACTTCTAGTGAATTTCAAAAAGACAAGATTTCCAGTCAACAAAAGATTTTAAAACAGAGGGAAATACACACTGTAGTCTGTAGACCGACCGATAAAAGGATTTTCCATGAAAATTTTTCAGATTGGTATATACGGCTTCAAGTCCATAGTCTCACACTTTTTGATCAATCATGACTGGTGATCTTGCACGGATGAATTTTACTAAATAGTACTGGGGACAATAGCAGAAAAATGCACACTGGTTTAAAATTCCTCACTCCTTTTCGGATCCACAAACATTTTTCCTCAATAAAATTGTTCCAGCTTCCGTTTGAACTACAATTGTCGTACGGCCAATTGTTTAAAACTCTATTATCCATGTTGCACCCCAAAACATCTGGAAATGATCATATAATCATGTTACAATTATACGAATACAGGTTATTCAGCCAGCCCAAAGATGACTATATCTCAAACAACCCATGGCTCAACATAGACAATATGGAGTGATTTCTTCATATGTTGTTCCACTCCCGGAGTAATTGATTCTTTATTGTATTGGCAACATTTCAATGATGTAACCGTACGATCTGCACTCCCCGGAAAAACAAGACCCTAGGCCTAGACCCGGGGCTTTCCCGCCTGACTCAGTCATTTTGTGGAGAAGGAGTCTCAGGCTGCACGGGTCTGGGGTTTGGTTTTCGCGCCAGACCTTCGGAGCAATATACACTTTGGTACAAATTGTACAACTACAATTTAAACTCTCAAGAAGAAAAGACACAATTACGAGACTTTTTTCCTATTGATGATCATGATATTTATGAATTGTCCCCCAACTTTTCCTCATGACTAGTCCAATAATTATTTTGTTGTACACATCCTTCTATGTATAAAAACCTTTTGAAATCCACTTTTCATCAAAATTAATTATATTCTCATCATGCAATTTATAATCATTATTTCAATATGAAAGCTTATGAAGAAAGATTAGTCGGTCCAGCTGATAAATTTAGAAGATTCTTGGATAAAACTCCAAACTTGACAAACATTGTTGTCATTTGTATGATTTCATGTGTTTCAGGTTTAATGTTTGGTTTTGATATTTCATCAATTTCTGCATTTATTAGTGAAGATTATTATAAAAATTATTTCCATGAACCTGATTCAACTTTACAAGGTTTTATCACCGCTGCGATGTCTTTAGGTTCCTTTTTCGGTTCTTTAGCTTCAAGTTTTATTTCTGAACCTCTTGGTAGAAGAGCTTCTTTATTAACTTGTGCCTTTTTTTGGTGTGTTGGTGCTGCTATTCAATCTTCTTCACAAAATGTCGTTCAGTTAATCTTGGGTAGAATCATTGGTGGTATTGGTGTTGGTTTTGGTTCAAGTGTTGCTCCAATTTATGGTTCCGAATTGGCACCACGTCGTATTAGAGGTTTTATTGGTGGATTATTCCAATTTTCTGTTACTTTGGGTATTTTGATTATGTTTTATATTTCTTTTGGTTTACATTACATTAAAGGTGTTGGTTCTTTTAGAATTGCTTGGGGTTTACAAATTATTCCAGGTTTAGTTTTATTTATCGGTTGTTTTTTCATTCCTGAATCTCCAAGATGGTTGGCTAAAAATGGTTATTGGGATGAAGCTGAAGAAATTGTTGCTTCAATTCAAGCTAAAGGAAACCGTGAAGATCCTGACGTTCAAATTGAAATTTCTGAAATTAAAGAACAATTATTGATTGATGAACATGTCAAAAATTTCACTTATGCTGACCTTTTCAAAAAGAAATATATCAATAGAACTTTTACTGCAATCTTTGCACAGATATGGCAGCAACTGACGGGTATGAACGTCATGATGTATTATATCACGTACATTTTTGAAATGGCTGGTTATTCTGGTAATACTAATTTAGTTGCTTCATCAATTCAATATGTTTTGAATACTGTCACCACTATTCCGGCCTTATATTTCTTAGACAAATTGGGAAGAAGACCCGTTTTATTGTTTGGGGCAGCAGCAATGATGGCTTGGCAATTTGCAGTTGCAGGTTTATTAGCTACTTATTCTGTTCCAATTTCTGATTATAATGGTTCTGATACTGTTAGAATTAGAATTCCGGAATCTAACAAATCCGCAGCTAAAGGTGTTATTGCTTGTTGTTATCTATTTGTTTGTTCATTTGCAACTTCATGGGGTGTTGGTATTTGGTTGTATGTTTCTGAAATTTGGGGTGATCCAATTTGTCGTCAAAGAGGTGCAAGTTTAGCTACTGCTGCTAATTGGATTTTCAATTTTGCAATTGCTATGTTTACTCCATCATCTTTTAAAAATATCACTTGGAAAACTTATTGTATCTATGCAACATTTTGTGCTTGTATGTTTATTCATGTTTATTTTGGATTCCCAGAAACTAAAGGTAAAAGATTGGAGGAAATTGCTCAAATTTGGGATGAAGGTGTTCCAGCATGGAAATCAAAGAATTGGCAACCAAGAGTTCCTTTATTATCTGATAAACAATTGAATGAAAAATTGACTGTCCAACATAATGAAGGTGGATTAACTCAATCAAATGAATCACCTGCTCTAAGTGATAAAGAACAAGTTGAACATGTTCCAAGTACATCTCAACAAGAATCTGTTTGAATTATTTTTTGAATATTATTTATTATTATTATGACTATTAGTATTATTATTATTGAATCTTTTTCAATTGGCAAATATTATTATATATTACCTTTTTATGTTTACTGAAAATTTAATACTTACTTTATTGTAGATGATCTAAATTCTAGCAGGTTATAACATGTACCTTTATCGGCCGAGTCCTGCAGCTTTAAAAAAAAAAAAAAAAAAAAACTGTGCTCACGTGACTAGTCTTATTAGAGTAATAGCAAGATCTCAATCAGCTCCACTAGTCATACGGTTCAAGTTCAGGTGTACTGCTAAGTGAAAGAATCTTTATATTGTTAATTAATTTGCCATGGTACTTTCTTGCACAGCTTATATATGAGAAAGTGAAAAAAACGGCGCGCCGGCGCCCTCTCTCGAAATTCTCATTTTCGAACAGCATTATTCAGCACACTTTGCTAGATAAGATATATATTAAAATTCTTCAATCTTCATAAAATTGAGTTCTCTATAAGATAAATGTATTATTGAGGTATTTTAAGAAAAAAATTTTAAGGTACAGAGTTATACCCTTATTTGTATTATAGTTTAGAGATATATACGTTGTTAAAATTCTTAAAATTTTAAAAACAAATTTAAAATGGTGAAAATAAAGATAAATTGTACCATCATCATAATATTTGGAAGCCAATCATTGTATTTATGTATTTTGCTTATATTTCTGTCATATAGTGTTGCTTAGTTATTAACGTTTGAAAAATTTGGTCACGTGATCAGCTCATGCGCCAATTAATACCGCTGGCAACAATACAGCCCTATAACTTCAAACTTAATTAAGCAAAGTATATTAAAAATCTGATATAGCATAAGCCATACTGTCTATAGCTAGCTCCATGAAAAACTACGCTCTCAAAAGTTTGTCGTACTCTTTTATGTTGTGTATAATAGTCTCCCCATAGCTAAGGTACTTTGCCAGTGCAACATTTACCTTCTTGTTGTTCGTCAACCAAATAAGTATAAAGAGAAGGAAAAACTAAGCATATATTCTATTGTGACATGATCCGGATAGTCTATTTTTAAATACTTAGACTGTATTTAGCTCTTGATCAACATTTCTTTAATTCCTTGGTAATGTCAGATATTCATGTTCTTCAGATCGATGGCACAAAATTCACACACGTCAATATAATTACATACACTGGTCATGTGCTTTAAACTCTTTGAACCTGTACCATGATAACAGCCTCTCCACCACAAACACAATTCCCAAAAGCTCAAAGCCATCACTCTGAAACGTGTTGATGATGGTTTGCTGATAAGGCATCGATGATTACATCAGCCGCACTCCCCTTATCTTTGTGGGGTCCTTTTGAAACTGATTGAACCCTTGCAAAACACGTAAACAATTGACGTTGACAGCATGTGTATAAATTCAAAACATGATCCATTCTCTTTCTGAAAACACAATGACTCTTGACAAAGCAGAGACACCGTATTTATGACATCTATCCACAGCATTGAAAAACCTGAGGCAGAGTACGCAACTGAGGTCAACACAATCAACAGAGACACCACCCTCGTCACTTCAAACAATGATAGTGATTGCTATTTTGAGAAACCAGATGATGACTGGTCTGATGTTGATGAAAAACAAGTTTTAAAGAAAATTGATTGGCATTTATTACCTTTAGTCTCTGTTTTATATCTATTGGCTTACTTGGATCGTGGTAATATTGGAAATGCAAAGATTGAAGGTTTGGCTGAAGATTTGAATATTGATGGAAATCAATACAATATTTGCTTAACTGTGTTTTTCATTACTTATGCATTATTTGAAGTTCCATCTAATATGTTGTTGAAAAAAATTGGTTCCCAAAAGATTTATATCCCTTCAATCATGTTGGCTTGGGGAATTGTCATGGTTTGTATGGGTGTTGTGCAAAACTATCATGGATTATTAGTTACAAGATTGTTGTTAGGAGTTTTCGGTAAGTTGAGTTGAAACAATTGTGAGTTTCAAAATCCACTAACCTCTCAAATAGAGTCGGGACTTTTCCCTGGATTAAGCTACGGTTTAACAAGATATTACTGTAGAGGTGAATTACAATTTAGACAAGCTATGTTTTATAGCGCTGCTTCAATTGCTGGTGCCTTTAGCGGTTTATTAGCTTTTGCAATTGCCAAAATGAATGGAATTGGTGGCTATGAAGGTTGGCGTTGGATTTTCATCCTTGAAGGTTTATTGACTGTGGCTGTTGCTGTTTTAGCCTTTTTCATTATGCCTGATTATCCAGATACTGTTAAATTTTTAACTACTAGGGAGAAAGAATTTGTTCATTGGAGATTAGCAAATGATAATAATTTGAAGAAAAATGTGAATGATTCTACAACTGATAAAAGACATTATCAACCGGATTTCAAAAATTTTAAGGATGAAGATGATATCTCACTAAAAGAATCTTTGATAAGATCTTTAAAAGATTGGCAGTTATATTTACACATATTGGTGTTTTATAGTATTGCAACTCCAACTTATTCAGTGGCTTTATCATTACCTTCTGTTATTAAAAACATGAACTATACAAGTTCAATTGCCCAATTAATGACCATTCCAATATATGTGACAGCTTCAATATCCTCAGTTATACAAGCATATTTTTCTGATAAGGCTGCTAATAGATCTTTATTCATTGGTGGGAATTTGATTGTTGTTATAATTGGATTTGCAATGGCTATTGCTGGTCAAGAAACTGATACACCAGGGGTCATTTATGCTGGTTGTTTTATTGCAGTTATTTCTTTATACTCATCTTTTTCAGGCTGTATTATTTTCTGCGGGAACAATTTGGCCAATTCAAAGAAGAGGGCTGTTGGTATGGCTGTTCAAATTGGATTAGGAAACTTTGCAGGAGCATTTGCCTCAAATTTCTATAAACCTGGAGGGTTCACTTTGGGTCATGGTTTATCTTTAGGATTTGCTGCTATGGGAGTTGTCTCGTGTATAATATTGGTGATTGGTTATCAAATTATTAATAAAAAGAGGGAACAAGATTTGAATAATGGGAAATATGATGAAGTTACCGATCAAGAGTTTTTCAGAATGGGTGACAAATCCCCATATTTTAGATATACCTTATAAATTCTTTTGCTAGATTATTATTTATTATTATTTATTATTTTTTATTAAATTGTTGTGCTTTATATACTCCATTGAGTCCATGTATGTGTATTAGTTTTACATAAGAACTTAGGTAATCCCAATACATCCTCGGCCGAGACCACCCTTTCGGGAGTACTCCGTCAGGGTTCAAGAAAAGTAGAAATCTCCAACAAAATTCAAAACCATCATCACCAACAACAAGAGGTCAACTGGTGAGATATAATCCATTTACAGCATGGGCACTTGGTACCCCATGACAGCAATCCAAAAACAACAAGTTCAAATTGTACCTGATACAGTTTAGTTTTGGTACCTTTTAGAAACTCCACAAAAGATGCTTGCCTAGAATTTTTAGATCATCATTGATTGATTGTGATCGTTGGAGAACCAAGATTGGTAAACAATCAGATATAAAAATAAGATAAAATGTTCAATCATCACATTTTCACAATATCATCTTGTTCAAACCATCAAAATGTCATTCCACAGCTTGGACAAACCTGAAGCTGAAATAGTTAACCGCTCAGATAGTGATTCAAGAAATGGAGTTCTCACTAACAATCAAGAAGAAGACGATTGGTCTGATATTGATGAAAAGAAAGTACTAAGAAAAATTGATCGCAATTTGTTACCTTTAATTTCAGTTTTATACCTATTGGCTTATTTAGATCGTGGTAACATTGGTAATGCTAAAATTGAAGGATTAGTTGAAGATTTAGGATTATCAACAAATGAATATAACCTGTGTTTAACAATCTTTTTCTTAACTTATTCATTCTTTGAAGTTCCTTCAAACATGATCTTAAAGAAAATTGGAGCTCAATCAGTTTATATCCCTTCAATCATGTTAGGATGGGGGATAGTTATGGTTTGTATGGGTGTTGTCAAAGATTTTAAAGGGTTGTTTGTTACAAGATTATTCTTGGGGGTCTTCGGTATGTAATTTAAAGCACAACTTCAACTAGGATACTAACATTACGTGAAGAAAGTGGACTTTTCCCAGGAGTGGCGTATTGTCTAACACTTTACTATTGTAAAGGTGAGATGCAATACAGACAAGCGTTGTTTTATAGTGCGGCCTCAATTGCTGGTGCTTTTAGTGGATTGTTAGCTTTTGCAATTGCAAAGATGGATGGTGTAGGAGGTTATAGAGGCTGGCGTTGGATTTTCATCTTGGAAGGTTTGTTAACTGTTGTTGTTGCCGTTTCAGCGTATTTCTTAATGCCTGATTATCCAGATACAGCAAAGTTTTTAACACCAAGGGAACGTGAATTTGTTCAATGGAGACTTGATCATGATAATAACTTTAAAAAAAATCAAGTTTCTCTTGAGAATACAGAAAAAGTCCAAAGAGCTGAACCAAATTTTGAAGGGTTTAATGATTCAAATGATGTATCATTGAAGACTGCTTTGTTCCTAGTTTTCAAAGATTGGCAGATCCTACTACATGTTCTTTTATACTGGGGGATCTCTGTTCCAACTTATGGTAAGTACATCTTCTTTTTTTTCCATTGATTACATACACTAACCTCACCCTAGGTGTTTCATTATTTCTTCCAAGTGTTATTAAAGGTTTAGGATACACTAGTTCAATTGCACAATTATTAACAATTCCAATCTATGTTACTGCATCTATTTGCTCTTTGATTCAAGCTTACTTTTCTGATAAAGCTGGTATCAGATCTATTTTTATAGGTACCAATTTATTCTTTGTTATGATTGGTTTTGCAATGGCAATTGCAGGAACAGATAGAGATGTCCCTGGTGTAATTTATGCTGGTTGTTTTATTGCAACAATACCATTATATATGGCCTTCCCAGGGATCATTGCCTGGAACTCAAACAACTTATCCAACGCAAAGAAAAGAGCAGTTGGTATGGCATTACATATTGGTTTAGGAAATTTGGGTGGTGCTTTTGCTTCAAACTTTTATAAGCCAGATAATTATATTATGGGCCATGGTTTGGTTATGGGATTTGCTACGATGGGACTCTTGTCTTGTGGGTTATTAGTTGCAGGTTACAAAGCTTCCAATAAAAAAAGAGAAGAAAGGTTGATTGAAGGTAAATATGATGAAGTTAGTGATGAAGAAATCTTTAGAATGGGTGATAAATCTCCTTACTTTAGATACAGAATTTGATACCGTTTAATGCTTAGCTTATGAATTATGAATTAATTACGTTTGATATTGTTAATTTTTCAAGAGATGTAGATGAATTGATATTAGATCAACTTGCTGATTTTTAGTGAAAGAGTACATTGTGTTTTTTTCGCCTAGTGGCCTTTCAGTAAGTGTTTGGATGCGACATTTATTCTAAAATCCTATTTAGGGGCATCTTCCATATTTGTGTCACCATCATTGTTGTTTTCATTGTCGTTACTATTGCTTGGTTCCTCTCTTGTTGACTCATTTATGCTTTCTAATGGAGCTTGTGTTTCAGTTCTTGTTTGTTGTTCTCTAGCTTGTCTTGCTTGTTCTTCCTCTAATGATAAACGTAAGGCTAAAGCAAGATCTGGATCCATATTTGGATCAGAGCCAAAATCAAACCCATCACCTCCAGTTTCACCACCTGCATTGAAATTACCACCATCTTCACCAATGACAATAGGGGATGATCCCACCACTTCATACAACAATCTATCACTAGGTGGAACGGTAACTAGATGACTATTATCATGGGAATTTACTATTGAGACAAACTTCTCTAATTTTGATGTGTTGATACTTTCTTCACCATAGTTGATGAAATCTATAGCAATATTATTTTTCTTCATCTTCTTAGCTAATTTTTCTAATTCTTTTTCAGATTCTTGTATTGGGCTACCAACAAATGCAACGATTCTCTGATGTTGAACTTTATTCTGACGGTGCTTCAAAGCTAATGCAGCAACTTGAATACCAGTTGCAAAATGTAATGAACCTTCAATTTTGGTTTCATGGATACCACTCAATAATTTACCGAAATCAGCGGTCAAAGTGGATAACACTTGAGGACCATTACCAGCTGCAGCTAGTAAACCAACAGTGTTCTCTGGATTTGAATTGGTTTTGGCTTGAAATATCAAATCAACAGCGTCTAGCTGTGCTTCAAATCTATTTGTGAGATAATCACCATTTCTGGTGAACTCTGAGTTGTCAATGACAATCATAGTAGCTTCCAACACCATCTTTAACGATAATTATGATAAATCCCTTTGAAAATCTTATCAATTGAGATCTTGAGTCGATTCAAACTTAGCTTTGTTGATTCGGTGGCGGTCCTTTCATGTTGACTTTTTTCATCTCAAAACAAAAACCAAAAAAAAAAAACACAATTCGCGAACACAATTCGCGAAAATGTCAAGAGAATTCGTTTTGAACAATATGATTCTTTGAAGCCTTTAAGCTACTACAATTCAACCAATTGGACGGAATTCAGATTTTACAATGAGTATGATGCAATCGAATGTCCTGACATTGAGGACCGTCAAGAAAGGTGGTAACAATGTGCTCACAATTGAAAGTGATAGTCTCAACCAGAGGACAACTCCCAAATCAAATGACTCAAGAACTCAAAGACATCAAAGCGTTTCAGCTCCAGAAAGCAGCAAGATCTATATCGATGAACCCATTCAGCTAACTTCCGGATTTCATGATACAAGAATATCAAGCGCTCTCGTCAGTGTTGATTTACATGCTTTACCAGGTGCTAAGGAAGGTGATGTTGCAGAGCTTCAAGCTTTAGATGGAACGAGGAAAAAGCTATTATTCATTGTGAAAAAAATGAATGACGAGCTACTGAGGAGATCTAAAAATGTTCATGTCTCTTTGCTATCAGGAACACTGCAAAGTCTTTTGGATATCTCTTCAAGAAGCCCAGTGATAGTAAGGTTGAAAGATAAAGCCGAAGTGGAGATTGATTTAGTTGAGATCCATATCAGAGATATTTGCTTGACAAGAGGTGACATGTGGGAAATATCATCTTTGTTGAATAATACCTGTGTTTATAAAAACCAGAGGTTGACTTTTGTTGAAAGTATACGATGCAATGTTAGTGCCATTTTCAAAAATGGTAAAAAAGTGTTTTCAGGTTACATTGGAGAGAATACCAAAGTTGTCTTTAGATCAGAGTCTGCAAAATTGGTGTTTTTGATCCAAATTACAGAGGAAATGTATCATTTTGAGGAAGATGGGGAAATAATGTTCCATAAAGTTGTCAATTCTTTGTTCCCCAAGATCTTTAAGAAATGGAGAGATGAAGGGACGCACCATTTGGTAACAATTGTCTTTGCTGCTAATGTGGATTTATCTGATGAATCTTGGATAGATCTTAAAGAGGGTGAAAGACCCACAAATACTCGTGACTATTATAGAGTTGTTGTGGATCAGGTTAATATAGTTCATTGGAATGAGATAATGATCTCTTTGAGATATGAGTTTGCCAACTTTAGAAAATACATTTTAGAAAACCAATTGAAAGATGGTGCAAACACAAGCAGCAGGTTTCTACCAACCATCAAATCGGACATTTTAAATACTATTAACTTAGCCACCACTCTGGTTATTGATAGATTTAGAGACCCTGATCTAAGGCACACAACCACACATTTCATTATAATAAGTCCAGGGAATGGATTATATGATGTTAAATATGATGACTTGTTGGAAACTGGTAAAAGATTGCTCAATACTGAAATTTCTGTTGATATTATCTGTTTATCTCAACCTGCTTTACACGTGACACCATTATTTAGATACAGAGATGATAATGGTTCTTTACACCATTGTGTCCCAGGCTGGATAGATATATCATTTTGGAATGAGAAATCTCATAGAACAACTCAATGGCTACCAAGGTGTAAAATATATGAGCTACAAATGATGGGTGTCATGGAAAATGAAATGAGTGCTGTTACTGTGGAACATCTAAGACCCGCTGTGAGCTCGGATGCAAATTCAGTAGTAGAGGTGATGGATCAATATGACAAGGACATTTTCAGTGCAAATATTGTACAAATGCCAGTGATATCCCGTGGCAGTTCACTAAGAACATTGCAACCAAAAAAGAAACAATCAAGTTCTGCGCTGCTGTGGACAGTGTCAAATTCCCCAGCAACCAAAGCCCAACCAGTTACAACAGCAGCTCCAACATTTAGTGTTTCAAGAAGTGCAATAAGCTCTTTGCAAAAGATCACTAATCCTATTATGGAACATAAACTGGAATCCAAGAAGTCTGATGTTTCTTCAATATTCTCAAGATCTTCATCTACCCCAAAGGAGATACCACAGAGACCCACATCTGCCCAGTCATTACATATGAAATTACCATTTAATCAATCATCCAAACGGAAAGCTCAGTTGTCAAGCTCTCCAAATTCCACAAATTCTCATACAGAGAAATTGACTTCATTAGACACTTTGAAGACTGTCATGTGGACAGAAGTTGATAATCCATCACAAGTAATGGGTATTCAAAGTTTAAAGAACCTCAGTGTTGGCAAATGGCAAGATGTTTTCCCAAAGAATGTCAGAAGAAGGGCAATAAAATGGAGATCTTTAGTTTCACCTTCGGAATTACCAATCACAACACCTTTATTTCCAACAGTGTCTGATTTTGAGTCAAACTTTACTTTCCAAACTCACACCATCTCACTGAGTGCTGATAATGAAAAGTACATGAATGCAAGTGATTTAATGAGAGATATGATTCATTTGAGATTAATGTTAGGGTTCCAAATCTGCCACGGTCCAAATGTTGTCAAAGTGGAGAATAAAAGGCAATCAGAAGGTAATGCATCATTGTTGATGAAGTATTTACCAAACTCTAGTTTTTCTGGTATGAGAATTTATTTATCTCTGGATGAGGAAATTCACAGAATTTCATGTGATTATGACGGTTCAATCAATGTTCAAAGATATCATAGAACTCATAATGAAAACATGTTTCGTGATATTGCCAATTGTGTTTTGATTAAGACTAGATACCAGCTAAATTATGAACGTTATGAACCTGATCCTCATGTTGTTCAACCAAGAACCTTCAATTGGAATCAATACGACCAATTGTTAGCTGGTTATGATGATGTCATGGTGAAAGATAATAGGACTTTGAATAGAGTCAAGTTTGTTTTGCTACCATCTGAAATTCCCAAAGGTACTTATTTAACTGCTCAAAGTGATAAGCAAGAACAACTTAATGAGGAAGAAACTAGAGTTGAAGGCTTGCGTAAATTAATTTCAACACTACATCGTGGTACATTTTTACCTGATAACACTACAAGAAGATCCAAATCTAAAAAAGAGGAAATCTTCCCAGAAATTAGTTTTTACACAGGTAATTTGGTTTCATTTTTGAAAGACCAAAATGTAATGGTTGATAATTCTTCTATCAAAGCGGAACCAAACAGCTCTGAATTGTTGAATAAAGATTTGGCAATTGGTGATTTAGCACAAAGGCTTCAAGGAACTAATGGGATCAAGCTTATTGATAGAAGATGGCACTGGAAAGTTCACTCAAATTGTTTCTTAGGTTTAGAGTTGGCTAGTTGGTTGATTGAAAATTTTCAAGATATTAATACAAGAGAAGAAGCCGTACAGTTTGGTAATTACTTGATGGACCAAGGCTTATTTATTCATGTGGAAAGTCGTCATAGATTCTTGGATGGCCATTATTTTTACCAGATATCTTCACAATATATAGTGGATCCAAATGCTCCAAGCTCTAGTGAAATTTTAAGGGGTCGCTCAAGAGGTGGCTCAGTTGGAAGTAAAAATTCCAAATTTTCAATGACTCCTGTTATTGCTCCACAAAGCAGTACAACTGAAGATTCGTCATCATTGAAAAAGACTAAATCAGAATCTTCAGAGATGCAAAGGATATTATCTCAACCAGGACAGAAAACAACTTATGTCTTGAGTAAATCTTTAAAATTTGATATTGATCCAAATAGAAATTCATACAAGAGAGAAATTGTGACTGTTCACTATGATACAGTTCATAATCCAAATCATTGTTTCCACGTTAGATTAGAATGGCTAACTGCAACACCTAAATTGGTTGATGATGTTATTAATGGGTGGTCGAGAATGTGCGATAGATATGGTTTGAAATTAGTTGAAACACCATGGAACGAATTATGTGAGATACCAAGATTGAGCCCATTCCATTCATTTGTTGATATTAAACTAGCTATTAATCCATGGGAGAAAAATGAATTTTATGATCAAGAGATTATAGAAAAGCACAGGTTTTTCTATCATATCTATTTGTTGGAGTTTTCAGGATTTTTGTTGGATAATAGAGCCTCATTATTCTTTCAAAATGAAGATGATTTGGAAGTTTTGTATTCATGGGGTAAACCAAGTTTCAAGTATGCTCAATATATTCATAGAACTGGTGCTTACATAGCAGAGATTAGAGATACAGGGGATTTATTTTTAGCACCAAACAACTCGCATATTTCAAGAGTTAACGTTGGTAATATTAGCTCACAACAACAAACTCCAAGTTTTGTTTTAGATTCACAGAAAATTATGTTGGAATTTAGAGCAACATGTCTCGATGCAAAGAAGTTGAGAGAAATATTTTTGAGTGCCAAAAAGAAATGGGATAATAGAGATAGAGCTGATAGTTCCATATTAAGTCCAATTACTGATGAATTAACTTTGTGATCATTATGATGAATTAACGAATTATTTATATTAAAACTATTGTAACATTCATTTAGCGATTCTTTGAGCAATTTTAATTGTATCAGCTAAAACACCAGCAGCAGTAACATCTGCACCAGCACCAGCACCTTGGACAATCAATGGATTTTGATAACGTTTAGTTTTAATTGAAATGACATTATCAGAACCTTTCAAAGCAGCAAAAGGATGTGAGTAATCATATTTTTCAACACCAACTGAAACAATTTTGTTTGGAATGTCCACTTTACCAACAAATCTTAAAACCTTGTTTTCTTTGGCAGCTTCGTCTTTCAAAGATTGTAATTCATGGTCATAATTTGGTAATTTTTCTAAAAATTCAGCAGCTGATTTGACAGATTCTAAATCTTTTGGAATTAATGATTGAACTGGGAAAGAAGTTGGTGATTCAACTTCAGAACCTGATAATCTAGCGACAATGGTAACTTTTCTTGCAACATCTAACCCGTTCAAATCATCTCTTGGATCTGGTTCGGTATAACCCAATTCTTTGGCAACTTTAACAATTTCTGAAAATTTAACATCTTTTGGTTCAGCTGTGGAATATTCGTTGAAAATATAAGATAAAGTACCTGAAAAGATACCTTCAATTTTTTCAACTTCATCACCAGTTTGAACTAAATCGTTAATGGTACCAATGATTGGTAAACCAGCACCAACTGTGGCTTCATGATAAACTAAACCAGCATTTTCACCTTGAGCATTGTTGAATAATTCCTTCCATGAAGCTAAATCACTTGAAAACCCTTTTTTGTTTGGTGTAGCAACTGAGACACCATTTTTAACTAATTGAGAATAGGAAGCTGCAATTTCACCATTTGAAGTGTTATCAACCAAAATAGCTGGTAATGGTGATTTTTTCAAAAAGTCTAACAAAGCTTCAGTTGATAAGTTTGAATCAGTGGCCTTTTCAACAGTGGCTTCCCAGTTTGTGATATCAATTGGAGAATAATCTTTTGAGATTAATGAACCAGCAGATCTTGCGATCAAGATGACATTATATGAGATTTGTGATTTTAGGGCTTTCAATTGGTTTAAGAAAGCTGAACCGACAACACCAGTACCTAAATGAGTTAGATTAATTTGTACTAGGAAGAATGAGAATTCAACATACCGATTATGGCGAGATTGACTGACTTGACCATTATGAACGTTGTAAAGTTTGAAGTTTTTTTTGGTTTCGTATCTTCCAACTGTTGAGTCAAAAACATGTCGTCGAAGTTGACGTTTATTTTTTCGCGAAACCAAAAAAAAAAAAAAAAAAAAAGAGCAGCGGCTTTCGCGACCCGATAAAACAGCTACAATTAAAAGTTCCAAAAAATGCATTTTGTCTTTATTCTTCTTTGTAAAGCAGCCCCAGTTTCCAGTTCTTGCCCATTTCCCTTGTGCTCTTGGGAAGCCTTTCATTAATGCTGGTCAATTGCAGGATAGTGCTTTCAAGAATTGAGTCCAACACTGTGACTTGATCAATCTCACCTCTATTCTTTCTCTCTTCACCTATATTTGATCTATCCGTGGTGTAGTAGAGCTTCATACAATTCTTTTTCATTCCAACACCTTTTATAATGACATCTAATCCGATGTTGAAGATCCATACCAATATCGACTTTGATTCATCTTCATTTGTCAACTCTAATATTCTAGTAGCATTCCCATTTACATTGTCTAAAAGTATGTCATAAGTATGGAAATATGGTTTGAATAATTCTTCCTTACCATGATGTTTGAAGACTAAGTCCCAATTGAAAACTTTATCTAATTTGACTTTTGGATCATATTCACCGATTGATTTTGAGCATTTGGTGCATGATATGTTGTTTGACACCTTGGTGACACCATATATCCCATCATCAATATTAAATGCAACATAATAGGCTCCCATGATTATTCCATCTTTCTCTGGCTTTAATGACGAAAACTTATCAGCATAATTGGTTTTGGATTCAGGTTTATGACAATGCCAAAAATCCATCATTTCAGCCCATATTTCAGAGGGCATATCTAACACTGAGCTTATTTGAGATGAATCAATCAATACATTGTCACACTTTAAACAATTGAATTGATAAATCTGAACAGATTTTCTTAGGTATGAAGAATTCCATTTATAATTTGTACTTATACTCATCAATGAATTGGTGGACCTATCCACTATTGAATCGACCAAGGGAAGCCGTATACTGACGATATTGTTTTTTTGTTTGAAGCAAGATGATAGATTGGGTATTTGTGGCACCTCAATGGGTAATGGTATGAATATGCTTGAATCTTGATTCTTCACTTTAAGCTTCAACAATTTGGAGTCCACTTGGATCAAGCTGTCAACCGATAAAGATGCTTTCTGGTCCTCCTCCTCCACAATAACCGAGATGCTCCTGATTCTAGACAATAGCTCGACATAGTAGTTAATTGTCATCCTCCAGCTCGTTCGTTTAACGTGAACTTTTCCTCTTGAAATGTTTTATACCGACGGATTTTCTCTTGATTTGAAAAAGTCGCGAATTACACTGTTTCGCGACGGCTAAATGTTTATCCCGGCAGAATCAAAACAAATTTGGTGATGTTTTTCCATTAAACGACAGGCAGAACGAACTCTTTTCAATGGAATGGCGAAAAAGCGTTTGTATTTCTAATCAGAGTCACTGGTGCTTGGTCTTATTTAGCTGTTGATAATCCTCATAGAGAGAAACCATGAATGGGTAGAAGAACAGATTCATTAAAGAAGTATCATGTCTGAGTCAAATGAAGCAACTCTACGAGAGAGGAAAGATGCTCAAGAAGACAACAATTTCGAACACGATGTTGAAGAATTCCCAGAAGGAGGGTTTGGCTGGCTAGTTGTCCTCGCAGAATGGCTAATAATGGCGTGCACTTTTGGAATGGTGAATAGTTTTGGTATCTATCAAACTTATTATCAAACCCAAGCATATCCTGATGAGACTGCCTTTAAAATAAGTGTTATTGGAGCATTACAACCCTTTTGTATCTACATCTTTGCAATCCCAACTGTCACAATGCTTCATTATTTGGGATCTAGAGTAACTGTTGGGATTGGTGCTTTAATCCAGGTTTTCAGTTTCATGATGATGTCTTTAACAACAGATCTTTGGCAATTATTCATAACACAAGGTTTATTATTTGGTATGGGTGGTGGAATAATTTACTTGAGTGGAATGACAGTTGTTATGCAATGGTTTAAGAAGAGAAGAGCAATGGCTATGGGTATTGTTTCATCAGGTTCTTCTTTGGGTGGTGTTTATTGGCCAATTGCTATCAGAAGATTGATTAACGAAGTTGGCTTTGCCTGGACTAATAGAATAATAGGTTTCATTTACATCCCATTAGGTGTTCTTATGGTTGTGTTTTTAAAATCAAGACTATCATTAAAACATGACATACCAAAAGGAAGTGGGAAAATCAAACGTGTATTCATGTTAAAATTAAGCGTATTAAACAACTGGAGATTCTTGGTTTTAACTTTTTCAAACTTGATTGGAATGTTTGCCTTGTTTCCTGGCTTATTCTACATTGATCTTTATGCTGGTAAATTGGGCATCAAAGTTGGAAGTTATCTTTTCAATCCAGATTACATTTTATCAGTATTGAATGCAGCTAGTCTTGTTGGAAGAATTGTTCCTGGTATAATGGCTGATTATTTTGGTAGAATGAATGTTTTGTTCCCATTTCTAATATTATCTGGTGTTTCACCTTTAGCTCTTTGGTTAACCTCTGAGAATTCAAATGGTTTAATGATTGCTCATGTGGTATTGTTTGGTATTGGTTCTGGAGTTTTCGTTTCCTTATTTCCAACATGTGTCACTCAATTATTTGGTGTTCAAGATAATCAAAGTAGAATTTCATTGTTTTTCGCTATTGGTGGTATTGGGGCATTATTTGGCCCTATAATTGGGGGAAGTTTTTTGCCTTTACAAGATCGAGAATCTGGTAATTTAGATGGGTTCAACAAATTGGCAATATTCGTTGGTGTAATGATGCTTGGATGTGCTGCGGTTGAATTGTTTCTAAGAGTCGTTTATTCTAAAAAGGCTTTCCAATTTATTTAAATTAATTACATTTGCTAGCTAGGAAGCTTGCGGAACTTCCAACTATGTTTATCTGATCCTTAATGACAGTTCAAAGACTGTTTATTATATTCAAATGGAGATATCTGTATATTATCAAAAAAAATGTATAAAAGCATCGGGGCAGGAATCATGAAGAATTATTAATCTCATAAGTTTGTTAATAACAGCCAGGCTATAACTAGCCACAAAGTAGCTTCAAGGATCAATCATGAATCAGGCAGCTAATTTTTCATCGGCAGTCAAACTTGTGTCTTGCAGGTTGTATTCATTCGATAATTTGGTCTCTTTTTGTTTTTCTTTCTCTAGTAGTTTGAGAGCTTGTTTGCGATCATCAGCAGCTATTTCCTCATTACTTCCTACTTTGAACAGGAAGCTGACGAAAAACAGATCTAAAGCAAATTTGAAGAACGCCATTTTGATGTATTGATGAGATATTATATGATATTGTATACCAGCCTTCTTGGATCAAGTAGTGTTTGAAGGAATGGTAGGCTTATAAGGGGCAAGGTTTTAAAATTAAGGAGATCTTCTCGCAAATGATTTATCTTTGGTACATTCGTTTGGTGTCACTGGCCGTAGCACCTAATACATAATTTGTAGCTGATCGGCCAGGCCAGGCCTATTTTAAACCACGAACACCAATTTCAAATCAGAAACTGTACTTGAACTTACTAGTGAGTTGTTGAGAGATTGAGTGGCGGAATTATGTATGTTTGGTGTGAAGTGTGAAAGAGTCAATGGTGTACCTGATTGTGTATTAATGAGATAGGGAAGAACTGATAAAAGAGTAAAGTCCGTAAAAAGCCGCTCTATAGATAAAGCTGGAACAGTGCACTACAGCATTTACAATGAAATTGCAACATTCAATTATTGCTTAATAACTCTTGATGGTGGCATCAGCAAAGTTTACATGGATGAGAATGTTGACCAGGGCTAATTTGGTGTGGATTTTCACGAGCTTCAGCTTCGGCAGCAGCAATTGGAGCAGCATTGACAGCTAACATGAAAGTGGCAGCAGCAGTAATGAATAACTTGATGAATTGCATTTTGAATAATATTTTTTACTTTGTTAATATTTAATGACGTTGGATAAAATTCTTGTTAGTAAACCAATATCTGGATCAGATATCTAGGAATTGGTTGCAATTTATAAATGATGTCCAATTTGAGGTCCTCTCTTATCTCGGGGTTTTTGCTGATTGAATGCAATATTTATAACTGAAATCATGATATCTTAGCTTTCAATGATCGCTTGATAGTCAACTTCAGCTGAAGCTTGAAAAGAAAGGCATATTTAGATAGGCTAAATTCATATTGATGATCTCGTATTAATACTAACAACAATATCAGCACATCATGATCTAGCCATACGTACTGCAGACGTATTTCCTGACCATATTAGGCGTAGAGATTATCTAGCTGTGATGATAATTACTAGTTTGAATGTATAGGGCTAGCTTAATGTCTCATGGAATATATCCTATCAAGAGTCTGATCAACATGAATAGATTGGTTAATGATTTATTTAGTTATATACCCTTAAAAGGTTGGCAGTCCATTACCACGGACATAGACGGACCTTTGTTTTGATAGAATTAAAGCATCGACAGTGATCCCAATCAGCTCATAATACTTCTGCAATTTCCCGTGGCTTTATAAGAGCCCATTAAATCCAGACTCCACAGTAGAGCACTTAGTGAAAACCATTGTATTCCCACTTTCGTCGTCACCGTCGGCACCGATCCACGAACGGTGTAAATGGTCAAATTTGGCGGTGATTTTTCGTGATTGGAAAATTAATTGATTCAAGATCACTTGAGTGTAACTGAAATTGTAATTAAATTTCACACATCAAGCTTAACTTGACCTATGCCAAGGAGACAGCATTAACAATGAAGGAGAATCCATCTGTTCAGAAAGACGTCAACGGGTCTGCTTCATGGATCGTGTAATGTCAGTTCAATTAGATTTTAGTGCCACCATGAAAATTAGCCACAGTTCAAACCTACACAGTACATTGTCAAATGAACGTATGAAAGCTAGGGTGTATATAAATGAGCAGACTGCCATGTCAGCTCTAATCATTATCAACCTATATACTGTCTCCCTGGAAGGAAATTAAGCATGTCATTCAAATCAGCAACCCTTAAATGGATTCCTACATTAAGACATGTGGAAGATTTCCCAGAAGAAAAGGTGATTGAAGATGTCAAATTATTGGAATTATCAAATCATAACCATTCAGACTCTAAAAATGACATTGAAGCATCCACTCTATCCATAGACTCTTTAAATAACAAACAAGACGTTAAATTAATTGAATATAGAGATGAAGCTAATAGACATTGGTGGAGTTTTTTCAATGAATATGAATATAGAATCAATTCTTATGAAGCTAAAAAACATAAATGGTGGTATATGTTTGACGAAGGAACCACAAAAGCTGAAAAGAAACTGGTTTGGAAATTATATCTTCTTGTTGGATTTTATTCTTTTTTAGTTTATTGGGTTAAATCTTTAGATTCGTCAAATATTTCAAATGCTTATGTTTCAAATATGAAGGAAGATTTGAATTTTCAAGGTAATGATTATATCAATACTGTTACGTGTTTCAATGTTGCTTCAGTTGTTTTTCAAATCCCAGCTATGTATTTGTTTCCAAGATTCCCATTACATGTTTACCTTCCACTTATTGATTTATTTTGGGGTACATTCACTTTAGTTTGCTTTAAAGCTACCACAGTTTCTCAGGTACAAGTGTTTAGATTTTTTGTTGGAATGGGAGAGTAAGTAATATTTCAAAATTTTATCATTTAATGATTTTACTAACATTACTTTAAAAACAGAGGTTAGTATTCACATATCCAAAAAAATTATTATGATTATTATCGTACTGACTTTTGAAAATTTAGCTTCATTTTATCCTTGTGCACATTATATTTTTGGATCTTGGTTTAAACATGCAGAACTTTCAACACTATGTATTTTATATTATAGTGGTCAATTTGTTGGTACAACTTCAAGTGGATTGTTTCAAGCAGCCATTTTTAGAAACTTAAACGGAGTTGCAGGTCTGGCAGGTTGGAGATGGATGTTTTTAATTGATGGTTTGATTTCTTTCCCATTAGCAATAATTGGATTCTTCTGTGTTCCAGGTACTCCTTATAAATGTTATTCAATATGGCTGACAGATGATGAAATTAGATTAGCAAGAAGAAGACTAAAATTGGCAAATATAACACCACCATCTGCAAACCCTCCAAATTTCCTTGACAAGGCTGTATGGAAGAAAGTTTTAAGTACTTGGAAAGTTTATGTTTTAACTTTATTGAGTATCGGGTGTTGGAACAATTCAACTACTGCAGGATCAGGTTATATTCTATGGTTGAAATCTTTAAAACGTTATTCCATCCCAGAGGTTAATGATTTATCAATTATTGCTCCGTTGATTGGTATGTTATTGTTGATTATATGTTGTCGAGGTGCCGATGCATTTAGATCAAGATCAGGTGCAATTATTTGCTTTTCAATTATAAACTTTATCTCTACTCTAATCTTACTGATTTGGGATGTCCCCGAGGCTGCCAAATGGTTTGGGTTTTCTATTTTATATTCTGGTTGGGCTTCAGCTTCAGTTATTTATAGTTGGTGTAATGATATATTAAGAAAAGACCCACAGGAAAGAGCAATTTCATTTATTTTGCTATATTCTTTCTCACAATCAACCTCTATTTGGGTCACAAAATTAGCATGGCCTACAGTTGATGCTCCAAGATATACTGTTGGGTATGGTGTTACTTTGGGATTTGTGTTCTTCTTGATGTTAACAACATTTATCACTCTATACTATTACAAAAGAGAAGAACGAAAAGCTGCAAGAGAAAACGGTATTGTGCTGTACAATTCCAAGACAGGTGATATTCCTGATGAAGTGCAACGCTATTTGAACTCAAAAGCTGAGATTAATTGAATACAAAGAGAGTGTTTTATAGAATAAATTTTATTGTAACAGCCAAAGAAAACCCCGACGCCTGTTCCGCTTGATTTTGCAAAACTCCGACATCGGATTCTCGAGGAATTTTTTTTTTCACACCTTTTTCGAAATTTTTTCAAGGTACAGCAAGATAAGATATGACTCTTTTGACTGTGAATCAAGGATTGAAATTGATGCAGCAGCCAGTCTGATTGAGGCAAAAAAAAGAGAGGAGAGGGTTGAACATGAATTGAAAAAAAAATCAAGAAGGTGTTAACTCACTTGTGAATTGTGAACCATTTAGGTCTTCATTTGATTCATTGATACTCCAAGGATGTCAAACATTAGCTCGAGTTCCATAGACCCTGAGATCTCAGGCTCAGATATTAATAAAAATGAACCTAATCAGGCTGTCACAAGGGTAATTACCGAAACAGAAGTCCAAGAGAACAATTATAAAGTTATAACTTCAAAAGATGCTGATGCCACATTAAAGTTTCAAGAGGAATATGATTCTCAAGTTCCTGAAATAACTCCAAGTCAAGAAGCTAAACTATCTAGAAAAGTTACACTTTTCATCATTGGATTCACAGCTTTAGTTGATTTGCTTCTGTATATGGATAAGGCAACATTATCATATGCTTCATTATTCGAATTTTGGAAAGATACAGGCTTGGATCAAGATAAATATAATAATGTTAATACAATTTTTTACGTTGGATTTATAATTGGTCAAATACCAGGGAATTTTTTAATTCAAAAATTACCAATTGGAAGATTTTTATTCATTTTAGTTGCATTATGGACAATGATTATATTTTTACATTGTACAGCTTTCAACTATGCTGGTGTGTTGGTGTTGAGATTCTTTTTAGGATTAGTAGAAAGTGTTGTTATTCCATTGTTAAATGTTACATTAGGTCAATTCCTTACAGCTAATGAAAAAGCAGCTTCAAGTCCATTGTTTTTCAGTACATGTCTTGGTGTTACAATTCCAACTGGGTTTATTGCCTATGGGGTTATGTTTATCAAATCTTCTACTCCATTATGGAAAATCTTCCTTATAATCATTGGAAGTTTAACCTTCTTGCTTGGGATCTTGGTTTTTTTCTTTTATCCAAATAATCCAGCAACTGCAAGATTTTTATCAATTGAAGAAAGAATATGGACAATTAGAAGAGTGCAAAAGACAACAGGTTCATCAATTGAACAAAAATATTTCAAAAAATATCAATTCATTGAAGCAATTAAAGATCCAATTACTTGGCTATTTGGATTATACATGATGTTGATCAATTTAGCAAATAATTTACCGTTTCAACAAAATTTGTTATTCACCGAGATTGGTGGTATATCTAACTTGGATTCAACTTTAGTTAGTGTGGCATCTGGTGGGTTTTCCGTCGCTTGTTGTTTAATTGCATCTGTTATTTTACTCAAAGTCAAAAACTCATCAGCTTGGTCAAATGTTGTTTGGATGTTACCATCTTTAGCAGGTTCCATTGCTGCTGTTGCCTTACCTTGGGAAAATAAGATTGGCTTACTTGCAGTTGTTAGTATGGCATCTCCAACATTTGGTATTCCTATGATTATCATGCTTTCATGGAATTATACATCATGCTCAGGTTATACGAAAAAAATGACCAGAAATGGTATTGCAATGGCTTGTTATGCTATTGGGAACATTATTTCGCCTCAATTATGGAGAGGTAAAGATGCACCAAGATATATTCCTGCTTGGATTGTTCAAATAGTTCTTTCTTTTGTTGTTGCTCCATTGATTGGTATTCTTATATATTTCATTTTGAAAAAACGTAATCAAACTAGGTTGGCAACATTAACTGAGAATGAAAAATTGGGAGTGATTGAACAAGATGGTCAAGAAGTTTTAGTCAATGTTGCGTCATTGGATCTTACAGATTTGGAAAATACAGCATTTATTTATCCATTATAAGTTATAGACGTATTAACAATAAATCAATATATATATTCAAGAAAGTTTTTATATCAAAACTCCTCATTCATTGGTCTCTCAGTAGCAAAACTACTTGTTCACGCGATTAATCAAGGTGTAGATGAGGACCTGGACCTGGTGGGGCATTCTTTGGGGCCTTAGCATCAGCAACAGGAACAGCTTCTGGAGAAGCAACAGCGTAGCTTAATAAAGTGACAAATGTTGTTAAAATTGTTGATAATTTCATGTTAATTGAGGTTGGATGTATTATTGAACTTTTGAAAGGTTGCAATATGGGAATAAAATTCACAATTTAGCTAAAGAATTATGGGATTCAAAGCTTTATATATACCCAACATCGAGTTCACGACAATTACTGAGAGTACCAGTACGTTATGTGCTAATATGGCGCAATTATTACGGTCCAGGTGTACGTATGTTGAGGATTTTGTATGTCTAATTTCTTATAGTGATGATCTACACTAGATAGGCACGTTAATATAGATAGGAGAGCAGAAGTACCGTAAGATAGAAGCAATAATTGAATTTGAATTACTATTATTTGTGGCACTGGTAGCTCAATGCTTTAGCGATCAGTTAAATACGTAGTATGATTGGGTATTGTACATGGCCATCGGAAAAGTGAAGAAACCGATAGACCTCAAAAACAGAATCCAACTTGCAATTGACCGCAAAGAGGAAGAGGAGTTACTGCTTAATGGCATCAGCTTTGAGCTTCAATCCTTCGAGGCTTCGAGGGTATCATCCATTTTAAGTTGAGTTTCTCTAAGCCAAGATGAAATGGCCTTCAGGTATGTACCTCAAAAGCTGGAAATAGCCGTTAAAACAATGAAACTATATTAATAAAGCTAGCCAGTATGACTCTACTATATTAGAATTGTCTTTAGATATTGGGAGCCTCCTAATTTGAAACCATATCAAGTACATCGAGGTTGGGAACCGAGTAAGGAGGATTCGATTAAGCTGACTGCTGTGATACTGCATTGAAACAATTAGCCAAAGGGAGAAGCATAAGTTACATGTACTATGAAAGCACACACAGTAACGCCATTATAGAGCTTCAAGTAATAAAAATGGTCTTGAAATCCCGTTAAGCTGTCGTATTTCTGTGTGGACTGGTTATGTATTTCAAGTTCTGACCATGAAGGCTCTTGTTATACGCTGACACGAGAGAATCTTGAGACCTACTCAAACAACTCCTAAAGGAATGAGCTTCAAAGCCAATTGTATAACACTTAGCTTCTAGGATAACGGTCATTGGTCCAATTGCAGGACAGTATAACAAACTATGAAACGATCTCAGCGATTGAAAAAAAAAGTACAACCTGGGTACAAAACATCAACAACTTCACCGAAAAGACAACCTCCGTGATACAGACGACTGCTGATGTGTGCTTTGTTTTAGACCAGGTCTCTACTCTTTTGGGCTAATGCCATGCTTGTTGCACGTTGGATTGATTCTCTGGACCCTTGGGCAAAGTTATATAAATCATCGCTGGTGCTAAATTCAATATGGTTCAAGTGTTGAAATATGGAGAATCAAATTCATCAGGAAAGTCATGAAGTTTTCAAGTATACTGCCCTTATTTTCAGCTGTTATTACAATTGTTGAGGCTGCTAGTGCCCCACAAACAAAACCTTACTCACAAGATTCTCTTGAACAGTTCGATTTGTTGAGATACACCGGTACAACTGGTCCCTATGTTTCCCATAGAGGGTTTGGTATTGATCCTGAAGCTCCATATCAATGTGAAGTTACACAAGCACATTTATTCATGAGACACGGTGAAAGATATCCAACAAAAGGCACTGGTAAAGGTGAGAAAAAGGTTTTCGAAAAATTGAAAAATGCCACTGTTGAGGTTTATAAAGGTCCATTAAGTTTCATTCAAGATTACGAATTCTTTGTTAAGGATAATAACAGACTGGAGACCGAGTCTGATAAAGGCTTTTATTCAGGTCTTGGTGATTGTTATAATTTAGGTGCTAATTTAAGAGCCAAATATGATCATTTATTTGATAGTAAGTCTGTCCATCCAGTGTTTTCAAGTGGTCAAGAAAGGGTAGTTGATAGTGCCAGAGCTTTTGCTAAGGGGTTCTTTGCTTCAAACTATACAGATCTGGCCTCTATTCAAATCATCCCAGAGAATGAAACTCAAGGTGTCAACTCTTTAACAACTCATGATGCATGTGTTAATTACAATGGTTCATTTAGTGATGAGCTTGTCAGTTCATTCACTGGAAATGAATACTTGGAAAGAGCTGCCATTAGATTAAATTCTTTGTCTCCAGGATTCAACATTACAGCTTCAGATGTTTATGATTTATTAGGTTATTGTGGGTTTGAATTGAATGTTCGTGGTGAATCAAAAGTTTGTGAAATTTTCACTCAAGAAGAATTTATCAATTTTGCTTATTCAAAAGATTTGGGATTCTATTATTCAAATGGTCCAGGATATAACTTATCAGTCCCATTAGGTTCAGTTTATGCTAATAACACTTACACTTTAATGAAACAAGGTAAAGAATATCCATATAATTTAACTTTTTCATTCTCTCATGATTCAGATATTATTACATACACCACTGCTTTAGGAATATTTGAACCTGATTATGATTTATCATTGAACGAAGTTGAGTTTGGGTCCATTTTCCGCTCAAGTGAAATTGCCCCAATGGGTGGCAGAATCATCACAGAAAGATTAGATTGTATGGATGTATTGACCAATGAAACTGATGCGTTTGTGAGAGTCATAGTTAATGATGCTGTTATTCCAATCCCAGGTTGTCAAGATGGACCAGGATTTACTTGTTCATTAGATGGATACAAAAAAAATTTTGAACAAAGACCGGGAAACACCAGTTATGTTGAAGCTTGTGGAGTTAATAAAACTTATCCACAGCACTCATCTTTCTACTGGGACTTTGAAGTCACTTTTGAGGATAACTGAACGTTTTATATCCCACACTTATTTCTCAGATTCTTCAAACCGTCCGTTAGTTTACTTTGATTTCTTAGACGACGTATAATATAATTTTCAATAGAGCTTATTAATGATAGTTAATATTGTTTATAAAATTCAATGAATCCATTTTATCTCACCATAGCTGTCATTAGTAATATGAGCATGCTTTGATGCTACATTAAGAGCTGATCAAAATCTCATTTGTTCTGTCCACTGAAAAAGCGAGCCTTATTGGGGGTTCTCCTGTAATAAATTAATCAATACCTTCAAAAAAGTCAAGTCAATAATCTCAGCCTACTTTGAAGTCTTCTGAAAAGAAGCATTCGTCGTTTTGCTTCAAGCGAGTAAAAGCAGTAGACTACAATGTTCACCAATTAAGATCAAAACCGTTCAATCAAACCTACAAACGACAAATTATTCTTCAGCCCACTTTTCCTGGAATATGTCGTGGCAAATCGAGGCACCAGCCATCAACCCTTGAGCTGCTGAGCCTGCCAAAGACCTCATCATGGTGGTACAGTCACCGGCTGCTTTGACACCTTTGACATTGGTGCTTTGCTGAGCATCAACTTTGACCAAGCTCATCTCATCAAACTCAACTCCAAGCTTCGTTAACATTTCTTTGTTATTAACAGTTGATGGTGGAATGATGTAAAGGACATCAAGATCAATAGTTGTATTATTGTCCAAGGTGACGCTTGACAAAGAGTCATCACCATTCACTTCAACAACAGAACCCTTGACCACAGTTATTTTCTTTTCCTTGAACTTATCAGCTGTTACACTATCTAGCTCTTCAAAAACCTTTTCAGGGAAAATCAATGTCAAATCTTTACTCCAATTGTATAGAATTGGAGACATGATTTGAAACAACATAGGACTGTTGAAGTACAACCCAGTCTTTTTACCAGAAAATTCAAAACCATGACAATATGGACAAATGATGATTGAGTTACCCCAAAATTTTTCAATATTGTTAATTCCTGTCTTTTCAATGTTATCATTCATACCAGATGCAAAGATCAACCGTTTTGCTGAAATTTCAAGGTTACCAAACGTCTTCACAATAAAACCATTATCTAGATCTTTCTGATGAACATCTTGTACTTTATCATGAATCAAATGAACGCTGTTGTACTTGGAAACTTGATCCCAGGAAGTTTTTTTCAATTTTAAGGGCTCAACACCATCATTGCTCAAGAAATTATGGGATTCTTTTGCATACCTATTACATGGCTGATCTGAATCAATACAAATGACAGAAACCAAGGCTCTTGCTAATGTTAATGTTGCTTGTAAACCTGCTGCTGAACCACCGATAACCACAACGTCGCAAACTTTCATATTTAATATATTGGTTTGCTTGAACGTTTCTATCCAGTCACATAGCTGGGAAAGACGCCTGTATTTATAATCATATCGGTATCAGCTATCTCTCCAACAAGTCAACAATTGTGGTTATCATAATAAAACTAATTGAACCCTTAACCAAATTTTATATCCGAAAAATGAGCAAATACTGTCAGGTATTACATAACCAGAATAACCAATTATGCACAATTCATCAATACTCAACATTTCACATCAACTATAAGAAGAATCAAGAATCCACTAATTGTAACATTATATGTATATTAATAGAAGATCGGAATTACCTTATATACACACAGTAGAGGATATTCTGTCAGGTTAAAACCACGAATAAAATAAAACAAGTGATCATTAAATCAACATCAACTAGAAACAATGGCTGTCACAAGAAACTCCAATAGAAGAAACACCTCTTCAACCTCTTCAACCTCTTCAACCTCTTCAACAACTAGAGTAACCAAAACCAGAAAACCAGCCAGAAAAACCAAGGCTAATCCTCGTGTTACAGCAATTGAAAACAATATTTCTGCATCACATGCTGCATCAACATCTGAAAACACACCAAACTCAACCACTTCAGAGAAA